TCCGGTAAATCCAAAAATTTGACTTGGCTCAATCATAAGAGGTAAATTCCCATGTTAGCTGTTAACTGCTGATCACTGCAGAGGAGAGGAATCTCTTTTTGGCAGAACATTTTTATTGTCCACCTAGGGTGGAAACCTACCATTTCTATTTTATCAAATTGAAAAACATGCTTAACAATCTAGATTTCTGAAGGGCTTAACTGGTGTAGAAGGTTTAATGATGATTCATAAGATGTACTTGAGTTTTGAACAACACTTAAGAATTTTGGGGGCTTAAAATTTTTTCCCTCCCCAAAGGAGTTCTTAGTTTCACCAATACTCTACAATTCCATATGAGATTTGGGGTTTTGAGTTGTATATCATTCTTTTTTGCAGACTATTTAAAAAGAGGAAAACTGAGATATTTTCGAACACAGTGCAGAGCCCTTCCGTACACTGAGAACAGCAGGTCCAGACCCGAAGGCCAGCACCGTGGTTGCTGACAGAGGGCTGGTCAGGCGCCCGCCTGTCCCCCATCCCTGCACGGCCTCTTCCTCGCTTTGTTCCGTCAGGTGGACAGGACGCAGGAAGCTCCAGAGGAGCGTTGAGGCTCAGCCAATAACCGCTGTCTGGCAGACGAGGCAAAAACCTGAGTACAGACAGGTTTGAGTCTGGGTTTCCTTGGCCTAGAGAATGCAAACCGGGTACACCAAGCTTGGAGAAAAGCTAAAAACGAGGACCTTGTAGGAAGGGACAGACAGAATTAGGAGTCCCTATACTTAATTACTATCCTTTCCCCTTCCTGCTTACTATCTTGTTTAATGAAAAACAGGAGGAAGATCATTTCCTCTGTCCTCCCAATTCTGAGAATCAACAAAGGGAGGGCAGGAAAAATTAGTCCCTGGGGAGGGCACTGTCTGGGAGACAACGGTCTTAGGAGAATTAGTGATGCCTCGCCTTCTCTTTTCTTTCATTGTACTTTTTGTACACATAATCTTTCCCATTTTTAATTGGAATCTTACTGTCTTTCTCATCAAATAAGCATGAGTTTTTTCTATGCATGTATGGTCACTCTTTTCCCCAGTCACACATCTCATTTTTGCCTGGATCCGGTTATTCCCCACCCTCATCTCCACATGCCCGACATCCAGTGTAGTGGCTGTTGCATAGAAGGCCCTCCACGAAGAGCTGATAGATGCACAAACATGTCATTGTGGGGAATTCTGAAAGCCCAGAGTAACACAAACACTCCTAACTAGAGATATGGCCATTGTCGGATATGCAACTTCCTAGGGTCTGTTTCACTGTGGGAACATGTCTTTAAACAAAAATGGGATCAAATAAAATTGCACTCATTCTCTCTTAAAACACCATCTATACTTCTCCAAGTCATTAAATGCTCTTCCACAATATGAGTACATGGCAGAGCAGTAAGTTATGCTAGATCCGTCGGATCCAGGACTTGGCTCCTAACTTCTACGCCACACTGCCTCCAAGTCCCAGTGGCTGGGTTTTAGGATCTGTGATGGGAACTTGGTGTCACAATATCTACTGGAAAGGTATCTAGTGTTTTGTAACGGGGCTTTCTGTTAGAGATAAGCATGGAAAATGGAATGCACAAAGTCCAGGTTTCTGTTCCCAGATGCAGAGAGAGCTGTGCCTGATGGCATTCTCCCAAGACAAATCATCCAACCTGGAGTTACCACCAATGCCCTCTTGTGTTTTTAGGGGATGTACAAGTTCGCGGAAAAGAACATTGTTAATGTATGGAGGCAAGGAGCTGAGTAGAAAGAGCACCGTCCGAGGCACATGTGCGTCCTTGGTTCTGGTCCTGAAAGAGCCATTCCTATTCTCTATACCCTCTCCTTCAGAAAGAGATTGCACATGGATGGTTTCTGAATGAGTCAAGGAGAGTCACTCCTAGGAGAGCCAGGGCCCTGTTAACCAGAGTGGATTGACTGCCTCTGTGACAGTTTAATTCTTAGATAAACAAACACCCGGGTCCTAGGGAGCAGGGTTGGGCCCTCTTTCCAGTAATGAGAGATCTCAAAAACGCCAAGACTTGACTTACTAGGCCTGGTGCCTCCAAATTGAAACGACGTGTGTTAGTTTGCAGGAAAAAGGACTCATGAACATGGACAACAGTGAGGTGATTGCTGGGGGGAGGTGAGTAAAACAGGACTAAATGGTAATGGAAAAAATGCCCCCTGCTAAGGAGACAGCACCATCCGCAGACTCGGGGAGTGTCAGAGGCAAGCTGCAGGGCATGGCCACTACCTGCACTTTCCCAGGAAACAGACTGGTGCTTCACCCCCAGGGGGATCCATAAAAACACCCTCCCAGCTTCTGATAGACCCCAAATCTGGGCTCTGGAGACTGGCCTACAAGGAGCCCTACCCAGCCAATTACAGGAAAATAACCCAAGACAGACTCAGGCTAGTGGCTCTGGGGGAGGAGAAAACACCCAGCATCTTCCCTGCAGCCTGACAGGCACCTGCCCTGAGAGATCCAGGAGCCCCATCTCCCCAGTTGCGCCACAAGCCCTCTCAGCAACAGTTAGGTCTGCGAGGAGCCTCAGGCTGACAGCAGGCCGGCAGGCAGACACAGGCAGAGGCGGATCCTATGGTGACTTGGGGCGGTGGCTGACACGTATCTGGTCCTGGTGCTGGTAAAACCGGGATTTGCAGAGCAGCTTGGCTTATCCTGGGTGCAGCCAAGAAAGATTTTTAAAAAAGGAGAAGTGAAAAAAAAAAAAAAAGGTAATGGAAAAATGCAATTAAAAATGCAATAAAGATGAAATCAAATAAATAAATAAAAACTTTCAAAATTTGAAAAATAGATAAATAAGAATAAAATCATTGAATAAAATCGTAAGAAAATGCTACTTTCAACCCCTTGAGTGATTTTGCAGCATGCTACTCGGTTATAGCTGGAATTTAAAAAACACTGCACAGGCGATTTCCATTGCGTGCCCCAGTCCTAACGCCCCATGGTAATGATTACGTACAGGATTTCTTTGCAAAGATAAAAATGATGTGTGTTAGTTTGAAGAACTAACTTCTTCTTTATAAAGCTCTCATGTCCATCATGTGTTGAGAGTATACCCTATCTACTCCCATTACCACTCTTTTCCCTTTCCCTCCTCCTTCGTCCCCGCCCCCCCCCTGGAGTGTCTGTCAATAGCAGACTTCAGAACCTCCAGGAAGGGATCAGAGGGCATCTGCATCGTTCATCGGACTGTCCTTTTGGACTTTCAAGAGGTTGTTCTACTGGCTCAGAGTATCAACCTTCCACACACAGCACCCCACCCTCGGCCCCAGAGCAACACGTGACCTCAGCCTGCAGTCACTGACCAGCACGCCAAACCACCATCTCCTGTTTCATGCTTCTTCAACACATGTTGCTATTTTTCATAGCACATGGCTGGCTGCCTTCTGGACAGGCCTCCTATACACAGGCCGCATCTCACTGGGCTGACACTGTGGATATTTTCAACTCTCAGGGACAAGAGGCCAGACAGCGGCTCCGTGGCCCCACTCCCAGCTAAACACAGGAGACAAAGAGCCCTGCCCCGCTATTCCCCCAGCAGGGAGCCTGGCACTTCCCCAGCTGGGCTGTCATTTTCCGTAACAAATATGACCTCCCTCTGTTCTTTATAGGTTTCCTAGAGTTTACCCTTCAGTTCTGTTAGGAGGGGAAATTCCCTCTCACCACACCTCTTGAGTTCTTATGACTGAACTAAGTAAAAAAGTGGCATAGGACCAGATCAACAGAAGTTAAAAAAACAATTTAATATGTAGACACGGGTGATCATAATGGATATCGACACAAATGATTGAACCAGCCAGCTTTTAATACTTTTTGGGCAAAGAAACAATAAAGTGACGACCTGACAGGACAAAGAAGTTCGGGTTTTGGTTCTCGTTAGTGAGCAATCTACACAGAGTTTGAGCTTGGGTAGTCATTTAGTAAGGAAGTAATGAAGTTTACTATGGACAGGCTTTCTGTGCTTCTGGCATTAGGACGTCTCTCTCAGCCCCCAGAATAGGGTCTGGGGGGAGGGGGTACCTCTTGCTTCAGGGACACAAAGGAGGGTGGACAACCCTTTCAGCATTAACTGCAGGTGAGTAATTTCAATGCAAACGAACTAGCACACAATCGAGGGCTCTTTTGGAGCAGCCTGCCCTGGGGCCCTCATGGTTTCTGGCACCTAAACGCTTCCACTCCCACAATGAGGTGTCTCCAGAATTGGGTGAGGGAAAGCGCAGTCCCTTCCACTTGATGGTCCCCAAGTCGTAGCCAGATTATATTTATTTTTAATTAACATTTTTATTGAAATATAGTTGGCACGCAACATCGTGTTAGCTTCAGGTGTATATGACATTTCTATACCTTATAAAGTGATCACCACAGTAAGTCTGGTAGCATCTGTCCCCATGCAGAGTTCCATAATAAAAGGAGGGAGCCAGCTTGGGTCCCATGCTGCCTCAGTGGCAGAGGCAGCTGAACAGGCCTTCCTGTGCCTTGCAGCTGAGAGCTTAGCATATGCCAACAGGGTGGTGGGGCAGACTTTGAGGGCCCCCATGAGGTTTGGTGGGCTAGTCTGTCAGTTATGAAACTCAAGGGCTTTACTCAGGAGCTTGGAGAGATTTCATTTCTGGCTCACCTGCCATCTGGCCCCCAGGGACCATCCTGAGGGAATGACCAGGAAAGCAAGGTCCTGGCCGGAGCACACGCCCTCCAGCTGCACCCCGTCCCCCAGCCTGCGTGTCCCACCCTGGAGCTTCACACCCTTCCCTCCAGAGCCCAGGTGGCCCTGCCTCAGCCCCTCCAACTCTGACAGCAGAGTCTTCCTCCTCTGACCCGAGGCTGCCAGGCAGAGCAGTCTACCTGGTGTCCTTGGGGTTGCACAATGGGGAAGTGACCTGGGGGTGAAGACAGCCACTGGTGTCCAGTAAGTGTGCCTCTGTACTTTGTTGGGGAAATGACCTGGAGGGACTTTGTCCAGGTGCCACATCTGGCTTTTCTTCCCTCCCCATGAGCCCAGCAGGGAGGGCTCAGGGTAAATAAATAGCAGCCACCTACACCCAGCAGGCAGGGACCAGCTAGTCCTCCACAGGAATCAGGTGAGCGATTGCTTTCCAAGTCTCCCTCTGTTTTCTCTTTCCCACAAGACCGTACACTCATTTAAAATCATGGTTCTGCTGGGGGTTTGTGTGTATGGGGTTTCTGCTGGCAGAGCAGCACAGGGTAAGTGCTTTTTGAGGAAGTACAGGCTGCTTTAGGAGGGTCCATTTGGTCCTAACTGCCCTCCTCCTCCTTCACGGCCCCCTTGGTGACGTCTTCCACAGTCTGGGTTTAGGGCTGATGGGTCAGAAGTGAGGGGCCTGGCTCTGACTGAGGTCCCACTGCCATGTGCCTACAAGGACAAGGAGCATCCCATGAGGACAAATGGAAGTGCACAGCCAGGCTCCCTCTGAGTCCCAAAGGCAGGTGTGCCCGCCTTGCCCGACTCTCCCTGACCCTCCCCTTTCATTTCAGCACCATGAAGCTCTTCACAGGCCTCATCTTCTGCTCCCTGGTCCTTGGATGCAGCAGCGAAGGCGTCTTCTCCTTCATGAGTGAAGCTTTTTTAGGTAAAGTCGCTGCAGGGGGTGGCACCCAAGGGCACTTGGATTCACCCTGAGCACCCTTCAAGGGTAGGGCTATTGCTTAGGTTGTGTTGGCCTATGTGGTAGTTAGAATGTGCCAGATGTTTGGTGAGCTTTTCACCAAACAGATTTAAAACCACGGGATTTCTTTCTATCAGTCACTACAGAGAGAACATTCATCATTCCCTGCTGAAAGGTAAGTTGGACCAGAAGACACAGAATAGGTCTTGAAATGGTATAAAATTTCCCTCAGGCCAAACTGTGCAGTGTGATTAAACCTGCTATCTTTCTTCCTCCTCTTCCTCCTCCTCTCCTCCTTCCCCTCCCTCCCTCCCTCCCTCCCTCCCTCCCTCCCTCCCTCTCTCTCTCTCCCTCTCTCTCTCTCTCTCTCTCTCTCTCTCTCTCTATTTCTCTCTCTGTGTCTCCCCTTCCTTAATTGGATGCTTTGGAGAGACCTGCAACTTAGCTCCTGCTGGGGCTTCCTCTAGTCAGTGACATTGTCCCAGCCTCAGTCCATTCATGGCCCTTTTCTGGCCTCCTAACCCACAAAGAGGAACTGGTAACATCTATCGAGGCTCCTCTAGGAAGTCAACAAGTTCACGCAATTTAGGGCAACTCTCCTGGTTTGTCCAGGTCTGAGGAGGTTTCCATGACATTTTCAGTGCTGACGGACACATGTGTAGCCAAGCAGGGACAGTTGGTCACCCAGTTGAAGTGGAGAACAACTTGGCAAGACAGCACCTTCCCCAACTCAGGGCTAGAGCCGCTCAGCATGTGGAGCAGGGGCTGTCTGCCAGTGTCCCCGTCCCGGAGCAGGTGGGAGCCCAGCTGTGCCCCAGGCCCCAGCCCTTGCCAGCTAGATATGCCTCAGCACCCCTTCCTCCAGCTTGGTGGGTGTCAGTCCCAGCTGCATGCTGGGTCACCTGGAGAGCATTACAAACTCTTGACACCTGAGACTACCCCTGAGAGTCAGGTGGTGTAGTTGGCCTGAGACGTGGCATCTGACTTTCCCAGTGTCCCAGTGACCAGAAAGTGCAGCCAAGGATGAGGAGGAGGACCAGTGCTCCAGCGCTCCCTGGCTCAGGCCATCGTTCAGTCTGGTTTCAACATTCCCAGGGTTCCATTCATGCCCCTAACTCTTAGAGAGATGCAGTCACACTGTGGTGCATTGTGTCTGCAAGACTACCTGCTGTAGGTGACAGGCAGCTGTGCTCCGTGTCCCCGCCTTTCTCAGAATCTGCTTTCCACGTGACCACCTTGCTCCCCGAGCTCCCTGACTGCTAGCACGGGTAGCTTCCCTCCACAACACAGGTCCTTGATCATGAGGCAGTTTGCTCCCCTGGGACATGTGGCCTGGGTGGTACAATTTTCATGGGCACAGTGGGCATATGGGGCCCGCATCTCGGGGACAGAGATGCAGGGATGCTGGGAAACAGCCCGCAACACTCAGGAGGGCCCGGAGGACGGAAGGACTCACTCACCCCAAACCTCAGTAGGGCTGGAGTTGAGAGATCCTGCCCTGTAAGGACACCTCCCTTCTCTCCTCTCCACAGGAGTCATAGAGGCCAAAGTGAGAGGGAGCCATAGAGCCCACCCCTGAGTTCAGACCACCAGTACAACCCAGCTGCATCCCCACTGGAATGACTCCCCTTAGAGTCAGTCACCTGGGAAAGCCCACTGGAGTCTTCCCAGCCTCAGGTGTCCAGGGTGCTGTGGCCACAGGCTGAAATGAGTCAGTGGCAGTGTTTCAGTCCTTGGTTCTTTCCTAAGGGTGTCACGATTCTCTGATATTTCACCTGCTATCTCTGTGTCATGTTCCTTCCTTCCCAGGGGCTAAAGACATGTGGAGAGCTTACTCGGACATGAGAGAAGCCAATTTCATAGGTGCAGATAAATACTTCCACGCCCGGGGGAACTTTGAGGCTGCCCGGAGGGGCCCTGGGGGCGAATGGGCTGCTAGAGTGCTCAGGTAACCAGGTTCTTGGGGTGTCAGGGTGGTGAGCAGAGGTAGCTGCCTTTGGGGATCAGGAGGGCATAGCCCTAGAGAAGGACCCTGTAGGGGTCTGTGCAGTCCCCCTCATGTTCTCCCTGTCCACCTCCTCCATCCAACCCCAGCCTCTGATTCATCTCCCTCCTTCTCTCCTCCATCAAGCGATGCCAGAGAGAAGTCTCAGAGGGTCACAGACTTTTTCAAGTATGGAGACAGTGGCCACGGAGAGGAGGACTCGAGGCAGGACCAGATAGCCAATGAATGGGGCCGGAGTGGCAAAGACCCCAATTACTTCAGACCTCCTGGCCTGCCCAGCAAGTACTGACCCCTTCTCTGTGCTCCCAGGACCGGGGCTGTGACCCCCTGTGGGCAGAGACAGAGTCATCCAGTTCTACATCTCCATTTGCTGACTGAGTGCACCTAATGGGTGTGTAATAAACGCTTAGCAGATGGAATGATGAAAACTGTGTGTTATTCCTGGTGTAAGGACTGCCTCTTTGTTACCAGTGGGTGATGGATGGGCACTCATAAGAAGACCGAGCTTGTGCGTGTGTGTTTGGGTGGAGGGGACACAAGCTAAGCCAAACACAGGGCTCAGCCACGCTGGGGGCTGTGCATGACCCACAGGCCTCAAGCCCTGAAATGAGCCGTTTACTAGAAGCTCCACAGCCTGAGAATTAAGAACACTGAGACTATGTCCCCAAAGCCAGGCTTTGTCTGCTAATCTCAGATACACATGGGCCTAGATCACAAGGGGAACATAGTAACTGAATATGCAGATTGATTCAGAGTCATCCATCAGGAATGATGTATAGCTGGCCAAGACGGAAGCCACAACCCAGGAGAATAGTCTCTACTGACTCAGCACGGGCTGCGCTGGTTCCTATTTTCTTAGCCCTCTGGAAGAACTACCCAGTGGGAATTCCCCAGGCCTCACTGTTCTGTTTGGCTCACATACCAGGCTGGACTAGAAACTCCGGGCGCGTCATCTTGGCACAGCAGCTCGGTGTTGTAAGTCTGTGTTTTTCTTCAGCAAGTTGCTTGGTGTCCAGATTTCTTCTAATCCAAGGGTGGGAAGGGCTGGTTGTGGCTCTGACCTCACTGTGAAGTTACTGTTCCCGACTGAAGTAAAGATTTCAGCCCCTTGTTCTGCCACAAAAGTGTAAAGAAGGTAAATTTTGTGATCTGTATTTTACAATTAAAAAAAAAAATCCTTGACATGCAGAAGCTAAAGGCTCAGACCCTGGCAGAATCTCAGCAGGTGGGCACGGGGTCAAAGGACACGTCAGGGTTGAGCAGGGCCTCAACCAGAGGACCAGGCGCAGGATGGGCCCAGGAACAGAGAACCCAGCTGAGGGGCAAATCTGGGCTCTGAAACCGAGACACTGCGTTTGGAAACAGGTCATGGAGGGCGGCAAGGGCCAAGCTCCAGGACTGGGGGTTCCTCTGAAGGCAGAGGGAGCCGTCAAAGGTTTCCGACTGGGAAGAGGCGTGGCCAAGGCTGGGCCTCACAGGACCAGGATTCTCACAGCAAGTCTCCCATCAACTTCCCATGAGACCAAGACCAGCACTTGTCCTCGGGGGACCTCTGTTTATCTATAAATGAGGATAACTGTCCAAATCTACACCCAGGAACATCTTGGGGCCAGGAGGCAAGTTGTGGCAGGTTAAATTAGTTCCTAGATATGCAGGTACCAGGTCTGGGCAGGATCCCTGACCTGGTTTTTCAGAAGCTCCTGCGGTGATGCTGGTGTGTAGCAGTCTGTGACGCAGCAGACTGGATGACGCCTACGGTTGCTTACGTGTTCACGTGCTGAGACTGCCAGGTGGTAGGGGGAAGGCAGTGCTTAGCAGGGAAGCAAGGTCTTAAGACTGCTGTAGTTGTCTCGGTCAGAAGTGACGGGAGTGTGGGTGGTAACGACAGAGAACAGGGAAAAGTGACCAATGCAAACCACCACCACCACCACCACCACCACCACCACCACCACCACTTAGAATTGAGAGGATTTACGGAGTAACTGGCAGTGTTAAAAAACGAAATCATGCCCTGGCCAGGTGCCTCTTTTGATTGGAGTGCCATCCCATACACCAAAATAGTTGCAGGTTTGATCCCCAGTTGGAGTGCATACACGAGGCAACCAATCTGTTCCTCTCTCATGTCAATGTTTTCGTCTCTCTCTCTCCCCCAACCTCCTTCCTCTCTAAGTCAGCAAACACATCCTCAGGTGAGGATTTTAGAAAACAATGCAACACTTAAATGAGTTGTGAGTAGACCAGGATGTCCTTTTTAGGGGAAGAGATTGAGAAGGGTTTTTATGATGCAGATGCTGCTGACCAGAAAATTCCAGACTAGTTGATTAACATTACATTTCTGGGAAAAGTTAAAAGTAAAATTTGGTCAGTTTTTACATCTAGGCTTGGTATCATGTGCTTTTAGCACAAGCGACGCCATATTGAGCCTGCAGTTTTCTCTTCAACTGTTCCCCTCTTTTGACTGCACTCTCAGCTTCATGAAGAGATACGGTCAAAATTAAGGCATTAGTGCTATTCTCAGCCACCTCTCTGCAGCTCCGCTGACCCTCGGCATGGCATGATGTTTGCTGAATCCCTTTGACATGGGCTAGAGGTTTTCTCTTTGACAGCAGTGAGGGTTTAGAGGGAAGAGGCAAGGATGACAAGTTTTGAGCCTTGACCAGGGCAGTGACAAATTTCATACGTGCAAGAAAGCTATTAACTTCAGTTTTTGTCTTCCCACTTTCTCTGAATCATATAAAACAGTTTACATGGGTCTGATCACTACTGGGTAAAAACCAAGTTATTCTAATCTTTCCAACGGCCAACCTTTATCACCCATCCTGCACGACACGGGTATGATGCCCTAGAGCTTAGTCTCATTTAATGGTCACTTCGAGGTAGCTCTGAGCTCAGTCTGTGCCAATCACTGAGCTACATGCTTCACATTCATTATCTCATTTATTCCTCACACCTTCAGTGGATGCTTATATTACCCCCATTTTACATATGAAGAAGCAAACTAGAGAAACAAATAACTCCCCAAAGTCTGGTTAAGGAACAGAGCAGACATTCGAAGCCAGTCAGCCGCAGAACCCAAGTTCTCCCCGACTGTGCTGCCCTGCGGCCCTGTTAAACAACAGGTGAAGTGTATAAATGAAAGTAAAAGCAGGGCAACCATGAATCATAGTCTGTCTTGCTTTTTTAGGGCAGTCACAGATATAAGCTGTATTTGAAACCACTTAGTACCCAAGTAGAAATCAAATTTAAATATTTAGCGGAAGGGGTTTTTGGGGGGTTATTTGCCTTGGAAAATGAATTCTGATGATGTATTTTTAAATGCTAGCAATTTCTCCCTGTACCCTTCTGGTAAGTGAGATTGCTGCAATACGCCCTAGAAACACCTGCTGGGCAATGACCGCCCAGCCGTGCCGGGTGGGCTGTCTCCTTCCGAGGTTTCCGCGGGGCGGTGTTTGGGTCACTGTGTAAGGACCAAAGCTGACAGTGCAGGGCAGGCTGTCACTCTTTACCTTAGTACAGACTCACATTCGACGCGCTCCGTAACCCAGCCGATGCTAGAGGGAAGGTGTGATGTTGGGATCTGTAAGGAGAAATGTGTATTTGGTCTTGGTTCCAGTATCTGAAACTGGGCTCCTGAAACCCTCGAAATTTCCTAGGCCACGAGTGAGGAAGAGGTTGCTTTCTCGTGTTAATGAGGTGACTTTGGACTGCACCTAGACTGGGGGCTGGTTGCCAACCACCTGCTTAGAGGGGCTGCAGCTCAGCCTCTCCCCACCCCACAGAGACAGGAGAGGGGCTGGAGACTGTTTAATCTCCAGTGGCCAAATGATTTTACCAATCATGCCTGTGTAATTAAGCCTTCATAAAAGCCTAAAAGGACGGGGTTCCAAAGCTTCCGGTTTGGTGAACGTGTGGAGATTCAGGGAGCGTGGAGCTCAGGGGGGGCATGGGAGCCCCTCGCACTTTCTTCACACCCTGTCCCATGCATCTCTTCCATCTGGTTGCTCCTCACTCTACCTTTTCATAATTAACTGCTAATCTAGTAAGTAAAATGTTTCTATGAGCTGTTTGAGCCACTCTAGCAAATGAATTAAACCAAGGAGGGAATCGTGAGAACAAACCGCTGTTTCATAGCCAGTCAGAAGCACGGTTAACCTGGACTTGCAACGGGTGTCTAAGTGGAAGGCAGACTTACAGAACTAAGCACTGACGAGAGAAATTCTGAGATATCTCAATTAAATTACAGTTGACCCGAAAGTGGGTGAAAAAGACAACTGGAGTTGCTCAGTTAAGAGCTGTAAGCAGAGACTAACCAAAGACTACTCACATTCCTGAATGTACACTGAAACTCTGAATCAGCTTCCTAGCGGACCACCAGACACACCACTGCTGTCTAGCCAATCCCGCACAAGTACACAATTCTCCCTGAAGGACTTCGCACCCATCCCAGAACCGGCCACACTTTACCTCTTCCTACCCCCGTTTTCTGTAGCCAATGCCGGTTCTTTCAAAACAACTTGTATCTTCCCTCCCCAAACCATTATATAAAAAGCCTACAGACAGCCCTGGCTGGTGTGGCTCAGGGGACTGAGTGGTGGCAGCCTGCAGACCAAAGGGTCACCAGTTTGATTCCCAGTCAGGGCACACGCCTGGTTTGCTGGTCAGGAGCCCTGTTGGGGGCATGTGAGAGGCAACCATGCATGGATGTCTCTTTCTATCTCTCTTAAATAAAATCTTAAAAAAAAAAGCCTACAAAGACAAATGTTCCTCTCCATCCCACCCTTGTGCTGGTGGCTTAGATTGTACGTCCCAGGAGCTGGTCCTTTTTCTGACTAGCATATGGCTCAATAAACGCTTTTTTTCCCCCAGAAAAGCTTTTAGCCGTGAAGGTTTTGGCTTAATATCCCTTAACCAAGTAGACAGTGTAAGAATTGATTTGAATCCTAGGACGTCCAAGTTGTTGGGTAATTGCTTAGGATGGAGAAACCACACACACACACACACACACACACACACACACCACACATTGTTGACCAGCCTCGTCAGGTTTCCCAAAATTCTAATGAGTGTTGTGAACCCTCCTTTCTCTGACAATCTTTTTAACCTATCAGATTATATAACATAACACGTATGTCATGTGAAAGTATGACAACAATTTCTGTCTACAGATCTCTGGCTGTGTTAGAAATAGAAAAAAATCATTCAGTGTAGCCAACACTTCGCTTACTCTGCACCAAGTCTACCACACACCTCCCTCAAGCTGCTCACAATAAACTCTGTGTCTATATGCTATTCAAATAAAAACTCTGATCATATTTTACATGCTATGTAAGTACACAGGAGCCTGAAAAACAGCAATCTAATACTTGGCTTAAATAATACAAGCCCTGACTGGTGCCCTGATCAGCTGGTTGGGCATGGTCCAACAAAGCGAAAGGTCGCCAGTTTGATTCCCCGCCGGGGCACATACCTGGGCTGCGGGTTCGGTGCCCAGTTGGGGGTGCATATGAGAGGCAACCAATCAATGTTGCTCTCCCACATCGATGTTTCTCTACCTCTCATTCTCCTTCCCTCCCCTCTCTCTAAAAATAATCTTTAAAAAATAATAATGCAAGCACTTGCTTCAATCTTTATCAGTACTTAGACTTCCTTTATTTTAACTTTTAAAAATAATTTCCAAAAGTGCATGATGTCTCTGAACTACTCTGTTTAGGAAAGATTAGAGATAAAACATTTCTGGTAATGAATTAGTCAGTTGGATACGGGTTCAGGTTAGAAAATGTCAAACACTGGAAAAAATATATATTTAAATCAGCTCAATTTAAACTTGGGGCTCTTCCATTTAAATATCTAATTTCAGTCTTCTGTGTTTTACTTATGTGCTAATTCCATTACACCTGGTCGTATTTCAGTAATTTCTTAATTGTCCCAGACAAGATATAAAAAGAATTCAACTCCTGATAGTGTAATGTCAGTTACATTATCTGTCTCCATGTGGCCACGATGAGAAGCTTCTGCTCCCCCAGCCCCCAGACAAGGAAGAAGTAACACCGCTGGTCAGAGTAAGGACTGCAGAGCTGTGAACACTCACATTCCGTGTCCAGAACACTTCATGGGAGTAAACAACAACCGATTCCTTTTGAAGGTCTACTTTGGTAGAGAAACACTGAGGCCACAGAGAAGCCATAAATGTGGAGGCTGCAGACACTGGGCAAAGTGTTCCCAATAAGGTGGCAGGGTTTTCAGGTAGTGCCTTTCCTCCAGTGACACACACATTCAGAAGATTCAGCAGCATGATTCTGTTTTCCTCAAAATGTCACAACATCCTGTTCAGTCTTCTTCCACTAGGCCTGCTGAGACCAGAGAAATCGATCGCACTTTTCAAGCATGCTTTGTATCAAGGCTCTGAAAAAAAACAAAAAAACAAGTAAATTTACTTCTCATTGTTCATTTTTTACCAAAAAAACCCTTCTAAAACCACAAATTAGAGGATTCAAAAAGCTGATTGACTCTGTAATAGGGAATAAAAACTTTATACTACTCTGACTTACCATGAAATGGAATTAGAACAAATAAGACGTACTAACACACTGATAAAAAGAACTCACATACTGACAGTTTCTTTGTAAGCATATTGCAAGTGCCAGTCATTCCGGTCCCTGTTTGTACCAAGAAAGGGCCATGACCATGACTTTGGGTGACGCAGATAGCCCAACTGCAGGAATCTGGGGGGGGCACTGACCAGCTCCAGGATGCTGATGTTAAAGATCAGTATCGGGACCAGCGAGGACACTGTCTGTACTTCCACAGCCTCTTCCCTTATCTCTCTGTTCCCCTTGTCTCTCTCCTTCCCTATAAAAACCTCAGCCTGTACTGAGATGTTAAGATGGATTTTGAGATCAGAGGCCCTCATATTCCAGGTTGCTCATCCTTGAATATAACCACTTTTACATCAGCACCTGCCTCTCAAGTATTGGCTTTGAAAGCAGCAGGCAGCCAGACCTGTGTTTGTTGGATTACAACTCTATTCAAAAGACACAATCGACCCTGGCTGGGTGGCTCAGTTGGTTGGAGCATCATCCTGTACACCAAAAGGTTGTGGGTTCAACCCCCAGTCGGGGCACATATGGGAGGCAGCCGAATAATGTTTCTCTATCTCTCAAATCCCCTCTATAAAAATCAATTAAAAAAATATCCTTGGGTAAGAATTAAAAAATAATAATTAAAAAATTTAAAAGTAAAATTATATGTATTTAAAAAACACAGCCTGGCTGGTGTGGCTCCATAGATTGAGTGGCTAGCCTGCGAACCAAAAGGTCACAGGTTCAATTCCCAGTCAGAGCACATGCCTGGGTTATGGGCCAGGTCCCCAGTTAAAGGTGTGCAAGAGGCAACTGATCAGTATTTCTCTCTCACATCAATGTTTCTCTCCCTCTCTCCCTCCATTCTTCTCTCTAAAAATAAATAATAAAATCTTTTTAAATATGCAACAAAAAATAAAACAACAAAGTGAACATGCATACTGTCCCTACAGAGTAAGAGAAAATATTTACAAATCATTTATCTGATAACAGGTGAATATACAAGTATATAAAGAACTCAGGACTTCCACCGAGACGGAGGCGTAGGTGGAAACACTTTGCTTCCTCGCACAACCAAATCTAAAAACAACAAAGTTTTAACAACAATAAACGCAACCAAACCACAGAAAATCAAACAATACGGAGTCCGAAAACAACAAACCACTCAGCTAAACCAGTGAGGCCAGCAGTGGAGCAGGTTGGGCAAAAAAGATCCCCGGACCCGGGCAGTACATAGGCAGCCGAGGGCGCGGATCCCAGGTGCGGGGTAGCTACAGGAGGACCCAGGAAAGGCACGGTGAGGCTGGCTGTCTGTGGTTGCGCACTGGCCCGCATATAAACCAGTGAAGAGGCGAGCATTGAGACAAACCGTGCAGGCTCCTGCACAGGGCAGCGGGCTCGCACATTTGCGCTCAGATAAACAGGCGGGGGCCATCGGTGAGGCGGACCTGGAGAGCGGAGAGGACCACCATTGCTCCCTGTCTGACCCGGCCCCCACATACAGCATCACAAACCACCAACCTGGGTGGCCCACCCTGGTGAACACTTAAGGTGCCTCTCCTCAAATGTAACAGGTGCAAACAGATCAAAACATGGCTCAAGAACTCAGAGCCCCAGAGCCTATAAATCTAAGCGATCAAGAAATTGCTAACCTATCAGAGGTACAATTCAAAACACTGGTGATCAGAATGCTCACAGAACTGGTTGACTTTAGTCACAAGTTAGAGGAACATATGGAGGCTAAAGTAATTGAAATGAAGGGAATTGCACAGGAAACTAATAGTGATGGAAAGGAAACTGGGACTCAGATCAAGGGAGCAGACCAGAAGGAAGGAAAAAATGACCAAACAGAAAAATATGAAGAAACAAGAATTCAAAAAAAATGAGGAGAGGCTTAGGAACCTCCAGGACATCTTTAAACACTCCAACATCCGAATTATAGGAGTACCAGAAGGGGAAGAAGAACAGTCACCAGTGGAAAACTTATTTGAACAAATAATAAAGGAGAACTTCCCCAATCTGGGAAAGGAAATAGACTTCCAGGAAACCCAGGAAGCTCAGAGAGTCCCAAAGAAGGTGGACCCAAGAAGGAACACACCAAGGCACATCGTCATTACATTAGCCAAGATTAAAATGAAGGAGAGAATCCTAGAAGCAGCAAGAGATAAGGGGACAGTCACCTACAAAGGAGTTCCCATCAGACTGTCAGCGGATTTCTCAAGAGACCTTACAGGCAAGAAGGGGCTGGAAAGAGGTATTCCAAGTCATGAAATCCAAAGACCTACAACCAAGATTGTTCTATCCAGCAAAACTTTCATTCAGAATGGAAGGACAGATAAAGTGCTTCTCAGATAAGATCAAATTCAAGGAGTTCATCATCACCAAGCCCTTATTATATGAAATGTTAAAGGGACTTACCTAAGAAAAAGAAGATAAAAAAGATGAACAGTGAAAGAACAGCAAACTCACAGTTATTAACAACCACACCTAAAACAAAACCAAATTAAGAGGACAGCTAGATCAGGAGCAGAACCATAGAAATGAAGATCACATGGAGGGTTAGCAACAGGGGAGTGGGAGAAGGAGAAGGGGGGAGAAGGTACAGAAAATAAGTAGCACAGACAGTAGATAGAAAATAGATAGGGGGAAGGGTAAGAATAGTAGGGGAAATATAGAATCTAAAGAATTTAAGACACATGTTCATGAACTAAAGGGGGGGATGGTGGGGGAAGGGTGTGCAGGGTGGAGGGGAATGAAGGGGGGAATAGAACAAATGTAATGTCATAATCAATAAAATAAAAAATATATTAAAAAAAGAACTCATACAACACCACCACCACCAACAAAAACAGCTTGATTGAAATTAGGCAAAAAGATGTGAATAGGAATTTCTCCAAGATGATACACGAATGGCCAACAAGCATATTAAAAAGATGCTCAACATCACTGATCATTGGAGAAATGCAAATAAGAACCACAATGAGATACCACCTAACACCTGTTAGGATAACTATCACAAAAAACGCCAAGCACACACCAAATAACTACTGATGTGGAGAAATTAGAATCCTCATGCACTGTTGGTACAGAAGGAAAATGGTGTAATCGCTATGGACACCAGTATAGTAGTTCCTCAAAAAATTAAAAATGAAATTACCATATGCTCCAGCAATCCCACTTTAGGGCACATATTCCCCAAAGAGCTGAGAGCAGGGTCTCAAAGAGACATCCGCACGGCCACGTGCACAGGAGCACTACTCACAACAGACAGGAGGTGGAAGCACCCCCAGGGCCCACTGACCAGGGGGACACCGTTCAGCTTACAAAGGAAGAACATTCTGACACGTGAGATAGTATGGATAAACCTTGAGGCCATTACGCTAAGTGAAATAAGCCAGTCGAGACAAGGCAAATACTTTATGATTCCACCTCAATGAGGTACGGAGAATACTCAAAATCACCAAGACGTAGTAGAATGCTGGTTGCCCAGGGCTGGGTGGAGGGGACAGGAGGAGCTGGTGTTTAATGGGCAGAGAGTCTGGCGAGATGAAAGAGCTCTGGCACTGGGCTGCACAATGACACGGTACACGTAGCACTTCCAAACTGAGCACCTAAAAATGGCTAAGATGGTTCATTTAGTGCTATCTGTACTTTACCAGAACATGACTGAGACAGTGAGGTACTTGGTATCAGTAATATTCTTAAAGAACTGAGTACACCTCAGGTTTGGGTATTCATTCACATTAATCCAAACAGTGTCATGGTCACAACTGTGAAAAAATATTTCTTTAGCCGCTTCCCTTAATCAACAGGTGAGTCTCAGTCCCCTCAACTGTGAGGGGCTGGGATGATCTCTCTAGTCCTGTCCATCTCTGAAAATCTTGGGGTTCTACATTTCCCAAGCACCTATGGAGAGGGCATGACAAACAGTTCCTACCTCTGCCTTTTCTCAGCAATCCTCAGGATGTCGCAGGTTCTAGTGAACCTCTCTGACAGCTCCAGGGTCAAACCACACTCCTGTAGCAGTGACCAGGCCCGATCTGGACCCATGGCCTTGGCTAAGAGCAGTGCCACATTCTCCACATTGACAGGGGAAGGCCCATCACCGAAGTTCCCATTTGCTGACTTCTGGGGCACTGGCTTTATGTTCTTGTTCTGTACAAGGTGAAGGAGAAGCTTCCATTCCTCCACGGTCTCTGGAACCCAACCTGCACAGAGAAACACAGAAATGCTGGCTCTGACTACTCTTGGCACTCTGCCTGCATACAGGAGACAGTCTAAACAGTTTGTGAAAACATTCCCCAGCAAAACATACACATATTAGAGAATATAATCTAACCACCAAATACAAAGTTGGTTTTCTGTACATCCGCTGCATAAATAGTTCATGATAAGCAAACACCATAAAATTAACTTCCATATTTCACTGACTCCGTAATATTTACCCAGGGCATACTGGTTCTAGGCTGGGCAGTGGATATGCAATTAGGAACTCTTACGAAACTTACAGTAAAGGAGACAGAACTTAGATGAATGCATAAACGTGCTGTACTTACATAGTTACAAGTGCTGTGAAAGATGAAAGAATCGTTAGAGAGAACGGTAGGTGTTTCTGGAAAATCTGAGGTTCTGTGAGGAAGCAACACTGAAGCAGAGCTGAAAGTGGACAGCAGAGCTCAGACAGAGGGCGTGGGCACGTGGCAGATGCACAGACTGGGGCGGGGAGGGTCAGGAATGGAGGGTGAAGGAGCCTGCATTTCTGACAAAGGAAACGTGGAGGATGTACTGACATAGGAATAAACTTGAATTCCAGGAACAGCAAAAAAAGGCCTAAAGGACACAAAAGCCACAATGAGTAGTGAGAGCGAGATGACAAGGCCAGGCCTCAAGAGTCTATCTTAAGAATGTGGATTTGATTCTGAGTTCAATGTAAGGGCGCCGCATGACCTAATTCTTGTTTAAAAGAACCGCTTTGGCTGCCGTAAGTAAAATGCATTCAAGAATGGGCAAGAATGAAAGCCAGCTGACCAATTATGAGGTTAAGGCAGTCGTCTAAAAATGCAGCTAGGACCCGAGTGATGGTGGAGTGAAAGAAAGCAGAGAGGCAGAAGACATGTGTTTGGCAGGAAAATCAACAGAACTCACAGTGACTCGTATGACTTAGGAGAGAGGAATATCAAGAAAAGACTCCATTTAATACACTGAGGGCAAAAACAGCTATTATTTTACATTAACAAAATATCAAGAATACTTTTATCTGGGCAGGGAGGATATTTTCTTTATACTTCCTGAATTTTGTATTTTTTCTGTAATAAACATCATGTCACTTAAAAAATAGAAATCATTTATATTTTAGTCCTTCTCTGGTTATTGTTCAGAAGTGCATGCACGTCTCTAGCTCTATTCCCACAGAACCACCTGGCCCTCCCGCTCACTGCTGAAGCAAAGACGATCTCAGTATTTTTTGCTATAGCTGTGACATCTGAAGCAAACCCTTGCCAGTCAGCCAGCTTCTTTGTTCTGCTCTTACGTTCCCGTTCCCGTCCCACACCAGCAGGGCTGGAAAAGACCTCACGCTGGTCACGCTGCTGGACGCAGGGGCCTAAGGTCCTGCCGTTGACGTCTCTCTCTGCCCTGAGACAAAGCAAAGCCATCTCTCTAAGTGCAGGACAGACCCTCAGACTTCCGGTACCAGTGCGTCCAAGTCTCCTGATGGACATTTTATCTCCGTTGGATTCATAAAAACTACATGTTTTTAAAAAATATCTAAACAGTGGTAAAAGCTCAGGGGAATCAGACTGCTACTCCACTTTAAGTTCATCTGAATGATCTCTAACTTCTGGCCCTGTGAAAAATCAACCCGATACAGAGAAAAGAAGTGGAGCACAGACTTCAGAGACAGTCAGTCAGGGGTCTCAGCACTGGCTCCACCAGGTGTACGATTTCGGGGAACTTACAGAATTGTCCCTTCTCTGGGCCTTAGTTATAACTTCTGTAGCATAAAAATAATAGTGACCACCAAGGGTTTGTTATCTCATTTAATCAGCAATAGGAAAAGCACCTGGCACAGTGCCTAACACATAACAGGCACTCATTAAATAGAAAACTTGCCTGTAGTTTATGCCCGATTATGATTTTATAATTACCAAATGGTATAGATAATAAAAAAGAAGACTCTACAAATGGACAGTTATCTAGAATTATATACACGGCCATTGACACGGTCACCAAATTTCTTTACTGAAAGGTCTGAAGTGCGTTCTAAAATACCACAACCAAGAGTAACCACTGGTATTTACATACCACTGTCCCCTTCCATCAGGCTCATGTCATTCAGACACACAATGTTGGCAAAGGCTTCCCTTCTTCTCTCCAGCTCCAAACAGAGAGTAAGGTATCCAGGCCAGAAACTTTAAAGACACCAAAGTTGAAGAAAGAAATAAAAGGCAGTGAATTTATCTGAAGCTGTGCTATCCAGTACAGTAGACATTGGATACATGTGGCTATTTAAATTAAAGTAAATAAAATTTAAAAGTCAGTTCTTCAGCTGACCAATCCATATTTCAGGTATTCGGTGGCCACATGGGGCTAATGGCTACCATCAGACAGTGCAGTAGAATATTCCCATTACCACAGAAAGTTGTTAGACAGCCCTAACCCAGAGTGTGACAGAAAAAAGAATAAAGGCTAGTGATGAACACTGACATTCAAGGCCAAGCACCAAGTATGATATATATAAACTTACATACTTTGTAAATGTTAAGATTCAATACCTATTTCTTTTTCAAATATGAAAGTTCTCCTTGACTCTTCTTCCTCCTTCATTTGCTACATCTAGTTTTATAAGTCCCACTGCCCTTTCCCTCAAAATGTCCCTTGGATGAGGTCCTTTTGCTGCCCTACTAATCACGAATTCAGTCAAGAATGAATTACCACAACAGCTTCCTACCTTCCCATCTCCAACCTTGCTGCTGTATGACACCAAAAATGATTTCCAGAAAGCTCCATTATTCTCGTGTCATTTTCATACCAAAAAATCTAAAGGGTCTCTACTGATGACTAAATTCTTCTGACCAGCTTCCAAGGTCCTCCAAAGCTCATTACCCCACCACCTGGCTAGTCTCATCCCTCATTATCAATGAATAAACAAACACATACCAAGTCCCTGCCATTATGAGAGCAAAGAAAGAAACAGGTCCCTATCTCCAAAAGATTATAATCCAGGTGGAGTCACGAAACAGCGGTGCCAGGCAACACGTAACTGACTACTATGTAGTACAGGTAAAAAGCAATGTCAGCCTTGGCTGGTGTGGCTCAGTGGATTGAGCACCAGCCTGTGAACTAAAGGGTTGCTGCTTTGATTCTGAGTCTGGGCACATGTCTGGCTTGCAGGCCAGGTACCCAGTAGGATGCACGTGAGAGGCACCTACACAGTGATGTTTCTCTCCCTCTCTTTCTCCCTCCCTCCCTTCCCCTCTCTAAAAATAAACAAATAAAATCTTTTAAAAAAATTTTAAGACAATTAAAAAGAAAAGCAATGTCAATTTTCATGCTCTTATTCTTATTTCTTTCACCTTATCTACCCTCCTCCCGACTCATTTTAAATACAAATCCCATCCAGCCTTCAGGGTTTATTTCAAAAAAGCCTTACCTCCTCCCTGAGTCCTTCACCAGCAATTCTACTGAGCAACTCCCTATTCGGACAACCCTACAGCTATTCTGACTCGAATAAGAGTCTAGTGCTTAATTAAATACCACCTGCATTCCCGGGTTTAGCAACTAAGCAGAAGGGGAGAGAGAGAAATTAGCAAGGGCCACTCTCTTTCACACGAAGAAAAAATACGCACAAATTTAAATGGGAAAATTTGTTTACTATCACTTAACACAAAAAGATACTTTCCCATAACAAAGGGAATTAAAAAATGATAAAGTATAGTAACTGAAATGATTCTAATCTTAACTGCAGCTTCTCAGAAAATTCTCTTACCCATGAGACCTGCAGATGTCCGTCATTTTCTCTTTGGTTGTAAAATCTGCAGGCAGTTTGATTAGATGAAGGATCAGCTGACTATAACCCCAGGAAAACAGGTGTGAATGAGGCCTGTAAAATTAAAAACTCTATAAATTAGACAGCAAATAAATTCTACAAAATGCTTATCAGTCATCTACTAGCTAAGAACAAAGTTTAATTATGTTTGTTCCATTATTACATTTTTCGAACATTTCCACTTGGCTTTTGAAATACTAAAAACAATTGTTTTTCCTATAACAAATACCTATTTATTTTTATTATTATTTCTTTAATCCTCACCCAAAAATATACTTACTGATTTTATTATTAAACCAAGGACAAGTTTCTCGAGTTTAGAGAGAGGAGAGGGCAAAAGAGAAGAGAAGCATCGACATGAAAGAGAAACATAAATTGGTTGCCTCTCACACATGCCCAGACTGGGGACTGAACCTGAAACCTAGGCATGTGCTCTGACCAGGAATTAAACCTGGTTTGTGGGACAACCATCCTTCAAATTGAGCCACACTGGCCAGGACTACTTACTGATTTGAGAGAGACAGGAAGTGGGGGAAGAGAGGGAGAAACATCAAAACACTGGTCAGTTGCCTCCTGCGTGCGCCTGACTGGGGCCTGAACCCGCAACCTGGGTGTGTACCCTGAGAGGGAATCCAACCCACAAACCTCTCGGTGTATGGGATGCTGCTCTAACTAACTGAGCCACCCGGCCAGGGCAATATCTGTTTTATTTCTTTAAATGAGACATTTTAGGTAATCACAAACAAAAGAAAGTGGCCTCTACTTCCATCATTCACAGAGAGCCACGGTACGCCCTTCCAGACCACTGTCTGAGCATGCAGGACAGGCACCTGGGCGTTTTACAGCTTCTCCTGGAGGAAAACACAAGAACCATTCCTGACACATTTTAGGTATCAGTGTGTATTTTTTGTGATTTCTATTTTTTTTTAAATCCTAAATCAGGTTATTTGTAGGTAGAAAATGCACACACATATGTACAATTTTTTCCCTTCTAACCCTCAATTATCATGGGCTCTTAAAAGTGGGTCCATGCAGGAGCTTCAAAGGGGGTCAGTTTAATATTCTGAAACCACGTGCAAAATGTTGCGTGGGTGCGCATTTTTCTGAGAGAAATCATCAGGTTTCAAGCTATAGGATCTGCAACTCAAAAACTGTTCAGAACCACCAAGAAGCACACTTAAGCTCATTACTACCGTGACGTGGCTCGGTCGCTTCCCGACCTGTTCTGGAAACAAGCCCCGAGTGCTGTGTGTGAGCAACCCAGCCCCACTCACAGGAACAGCACGACTTGAAAGAGGGCTTCTGTACCTGGGGTGTCCTTCATCATCTACAGTGCTTGTGCTTGGGGGAGCATCATGGGACACTGCCGAAAGTAGCCAATCCAATTTTACAGACTCTCGTTGTACAAGGGACTCCAGGAAGGAGGGCCTAAGAGAAAGCAGAAAGAAAAATCATCAGTCCTCATGCTAAGAAAGGAAACATAAAATGTGGGGATGTGAAAATGTGACTGAGAGATCAATATGGTGAATGAAATAACTTGAAAATCTTTCTGCTACAAAATGTCTAGAAAAGCTGGTAAAAATCTAACAGTCTTTTCAATGAACAGTTGTATCCTCATGATAATGAGGAAAATACTGAAGCGTCAAAAATAAAAAGAGAAATAAAAGCCAGTATGGCAAATGTGAATCAATCAGAGGTGGGGAGAATAGCCAGTCTCAATAACCAGATGCCATGTGGAGACAGGAAATGAAGCCTCAGTCTAAAAATAGGCAAAGGGCTAGAACTGAGATCCACCTGTACAAGGCTAGGCTATCATCAATAAAAACGGTGGCGATAAACTCACTGGCAGAGACAACAAGGAGGCTTATCTGCCTTAGCCTGGACCCTGAAGCAGGGGTTTAATTTTATACTGATGATCCAAAAATCCTTGAGAGGAAGAAAGGGCAGAAGGGAAGTGTACTATGTGCACACTGATGGTGTGTATTTGAACCCTCAAAGAATGCACACAGCTGCCCAAATCCTCCTCTTCCCTAGGAGATTAGATACCTCAATTCGGTGGCAGTTGATAGTAAAAATGGTACAACTGCTTATACAAGAAAAATAGTGCTCTGTGAGGGGAAAGGGGAATCTGCAAATCTTCTTCGCCTTCTCACCGTTGATCTTCAGGTCTTGACTTCACCAGACTGTCTAAGTAGGCCAAAAACCGCTCGGGGTGCTGATGACAAAGTTGCATCACGTCCGAAGGTGAAATAGAGGGGTAAAACTTGATTAAGGATCGGAGGGCAGATTCCCCGAACTTCTCATACAATCTGCATTTAAAAACAAAATATATTAGCCTCCAACTTCAATGAGATGGTATCAGTTGGTTACATTATCTAAGTACTTATTAGAAATAAAAATAAATATACTAACAGGCACCTGACCAACATGCAACTGAGTAAAACTTTAGAAACTAAGATCAAAAAAACCCTCACCTTGCATATGCTTTATTTAGTTCATATAAACAACATATACGACAACTTACCGGGTAGCATAAGCAATCAACAAAGGACTGTCAAAAGGGACTGAGTCATCCACGAACTTTAATCTGGTTGGTAGGTCTCCTTCTTCCATCTCCAAGTATGTAGGACTGGAACTTGCCATTTCTGAAAGATAAAACATACACTTTCCCCTTCATCTCAGAGCTGTAAAGAATACTCAATTCATGAACACATTCGTTCAACCACCATACTCACGTACTGCGTGTGAAAGGCCCAATGCTTGTTAAGTATTCTAGCAGAACCAAAGAAGAACAAGATACAACCTCTACTTTTACAAAACCTTAAAATCAAACTGAAAGGCAGAGTATACTCAAAGTTTTAAACATGGCAAAGTAACAACAAATTTATAAGTGTCTATTAGCCTTGAAAAAAGAATGGGTATATATATATATTTTGTTCCAAAAGACAGAGTAGGAACACTTTTTCTAGAACCAATAATATAAAATGTATCCCAACTTATAATTATTCTCTTTTGGTAATGAATGAAAAGTGTGCTTAAAGTCTAAATCAATTATTAGATGCACAGCATCTTTTACTCAAGCAGAATGTTGAATTAGGGAAATCTGCCTCCTTACAAACCTGGGCCTATGCAGTGCAAAGGGCACGAGTGGTCTCTGGGGTATGAGAGCTGGTTTTTGTATGAGGATGACAAATAGTGTGAACTTCAATCAAGTGTGAAGGAAAAACCGTGCAGGCAAGAAGGGGCTGGAAAGAAGTATTTGAAGTCATGAAAGGCAAGGACCTACATCCAAGATTGCTCTATCCAGCAAAGCTTTCATTTAGAATGGAAGGGCAGGTAAAGTGTTTCCCAGATGAGGTCATCACCAAGCCCTTATTATATGAAAAGTTAAAGGGACTTATCTAAGAAAGAGATGATGATCAAAAATATGAATAAAAGGACAACAAACTTACAACTATCAACAAATAAACCAAAAAAGAACAAAGCGAAAATGAACTAAACAAACTAGAACAGGAACAGATATATATATATATAAATATAAAATTTATTCATTTATCTATCTATCTACTTATTTATAGACACAGGAGAAGGAAAGGAGAAAGAGGGAGAGACAGACATGTGCCCTGACTGGGAATTGAACCAGTTTTGGTTTGCAGGTCCATGCTCAATCCACTGAGCTACAACAGCCAGGGCCAAAATATATGTTTTTTAAAAAAGAATTCTTACCAATGGAATAGGAACAGAAGAGATATGAGCCACTACTAGGGCAGGGCTATACGAGACATATATACCCCCTTCCATATGCTTTCCCCAGGACTAACAACCCAATCTCAGTCACAAACCCAAAGGAGGATGGAACTCAAAACAATGGAGGGAACTCGAAACTCTGGATTCCCACATGGAAGAGAGCTGCCCATTGACCTGAAACATCTGTCTTAGACTAGTGTATGAGCAAAAAGTAAACTTCTATAATATCTGACTTAACATTTCATGAGATATTGCAGCAGTTTAGCTTGCTTAACTGTTATAATTTCTCTGTGCCTGTTTCGTCACTTGTTAAATGGAATAACACCATCTATTCTCAAAACTATTGTATAAAATGAAACAATGCCTGTAAAGTATTTGGCATAATATGTGGCAGACAATAAGTACTCAGTAAGTGGTAAATATTATTTCAATATTAGTAAGTTACAAGGATTTTTCTCATTTTTATATTATCTGCACTTATAAAAATCTTACTTTAACCGCAACTTCTCCAACACCACGTCATTTTCTGAATATGATTGAGAGAAAGAAAACTAATTTCTTATAATACAGCTGTAAATCACACCAATATTTGAAGAGCTATTAAAAAGTTGAGTGGAGGACTTCCGCCAAGATGGAGGCATAGGTGGAGATGCCGTGCTTTCTCCCACAACCAAGTTTAGAGACAACAAAATATTAGCAACAGAAAACACAGCCAGACCACAGAAAATTGAACTTTTCGGAAGTCCGATGACAACGAATTCTTCAGCCTGACCAGTAAGAGGGGTGAAGCTAGCAGTTGGTGGAGCGGGGTTGCACAGGAAAACTCAGTCAGACGGACTCAGGTGTGCGGATCCCAGGTGTGGGGTTGCAACAGGCAGACCCAGTGAGCGACCCAGTGAGCGACCGGCATACCCAGCAAGGGTGCGGGGCGGCGGGTGTACTGTGGTCCTGTGTTCGTGCGCAGATAGACCAGCGAGGGAGTAGGCGGTGAGATGGGACCGAGCAGGCCCCAGCTACGAGAGGCAGCAGAGGGGGCCGCCATTTCCCTGCTCTGACCCCGCCCCCACATACAGCATCACAAACCAGTGACCTGGGCGGCCCTGCCCTGGTGAACAATTTAGGCTCCACTCCTCATAATTAACGGGCGTGAATAGACGAAAAATGGCTCAAGAAGATCTCGAAGCCCCGGAACCCATAAATCTAAGTGACGAAGAAATAGTAAAACTTTCAGATGCACAGTTCAAAACACTGGTGATCAGGATGCTCACAAAACTGGTTGATTTTAGCCACAAATTAGAGGAAGATATGAAGGCTAAACTAATTGAAATGAAGGAAAACATACAGGAAACCAATAGTGATGAAGAGGAAACTGGGACTCAAATCAAGGGAGTGAACCAGAAGGAAGAAAACAATGGCCAAACAGGAAAATATGAAGAAACAAGAATTTAAAAAAATGAGGAGACTTAGGAACCTCCAGGACATCTTTAAACGCTCCAACATCTGAATTATAGAGGTACCAGAAGGGGGAAAGGAACAGCCACCAGTGGAAAACTTATTTGAACAAATAATAAAGGAGAACTTCCCCAATCTGGCAAAGGAAATAGACTTCCAGGAAACCCAGGAAGCTCAGAGAGTCCCAAAGAAGTTGGACCCAAGAAGAAACACACCAAGGCACATCATGATTACATTAGCCAAGATTAAAATAAAGGAGAGAATCCTAGAAACAGCAAGAGATAAGGGGATAGTCACCTACAAAGGACTGTTCCCATCAGACTGTCAGTGGATTTCTCAAAAGAGACCCTACAGGCAAGAAGGGGCTAGAAAGAGAATAAGTCATGAAATCCAAAGACCTACAACCAAGATTGCTCTATCCAGCAAAGCTTTCATTTAGAATGGAAGGACAGATAAAGTGCTTCTCAGATAAGATCAAATTCAAGAAGTTCATCATCACCAAGCCCTTATTATATGAAATGTTAAAGGGACTTATCTAAGAAAAAGAAGTTAAAAAAACACGAACAGTGAAAGGACAACAAACTCACAGTTATTAACAACCATACCTAAAACAAAAGCAAACTAAGAGGACAGCTAGATCAGGAGAGGAAACATAGAAATGAAGATCTCAAGGAGGGTTAGCAACAGGGGAGTGGGAGGAGGAGAAGGGGGGAGAAGGTACAGAAAATAAGTAGCATAGAGAGTAGATAGAAAATAAATGGGGGGGCAGGAATAGTATGGGAAATACAGAATCTAAAGAACTTGAGACACATGGTCATAAACTAAAGGGGGGGGGTAATGGGGACAGGGAGGTAGGGTGGAGGGGAATGAAGGGGGGGAATAGAATAACTGTAATGGCATAATCAATAAAATTAAAAAAAAAAAAAGTTGAGTGGAGCCCTGGCTGATGTGCCTCAGTGGATCAAGGGCCAGACTTCGAACCAAAGGGTCATCAGTTTGATTCCCAGTCAGGGCACACCCCTGGGTTGCAGGCCAGGTCCCCAGTAGGGGCACGCAAGAGGCAATCACACACTGATGTTTTTCTCCTCTTTCTCCCTCTTTTCCCCTCCAAAAAGAAATAAATAAAATATTTTTTAAAAAATGAATGGAAAAAGATACAAAAAGGACAGAATAGAGGCTGAAAAGAGGATGACCAGAACAGAGGTGATTTTCTACTTAATTCTCGTATTTTAAACTAAAAAATGCCAAGGTGCTCTATACCAACATCTATCTTTGTTAAGGCAATCCAATTATTACCTTTCAATCCTTCAATAAAAGTATCCCAAACACAAGGAGTGTTAGTGTAACTAAGCTTGATACTCTCCTTTGCCCTCTTCAAGTCCAGGAGAAAAAAGTACTTCTTCAGGAACTGACAAGGCAGAATTTCAGGAGAGCACTGTTGCAAAGCGTTGTCCACGTGTCCATTTGTGCTTTCAGTCTCAGAATTGAACACATTCAATTCCAAACACAATGTTGTCAATTCAGCCAGGTCCTTCTGGAGACCATCTGCTATACTGCATGGAGAACATACTCGAAAAAGGCCATCCAAGGGCTCCCTCAGACTGTTTACAGGTTCACATGCCATTTGAGCAATAGTTTCTTCATTGCCTAAAGAGTCCCCTTTTTCTTTTTCATTATCTTCATCTAATATTCCATTTTTTGACTCATCAAACAATTCCACATCCTCATTAGACGTCATGGATGAGTTGCCAGTGTCTTGCGTGGCAAATGTTTTTTCTAACTGTGGAAGCCACTCCTGTAAAACCATCCTCAGAGACTCGGGTTCAAATAAAACCAGTGGGTCCTGTAGCTTGGTCCTACACAAGACAGACAAGTATAAAATTTGTTTCATGTATCTTTTTTAAACTAATTATTTCATGCTAAATAGACCTAACAAACACAATATGCTTCCTTAGAATAAATGTTACCTTTCTACTCCTTAACAATTATTTTGGCAATAAGACAATACAAAAAACATTAACTGTGTACTAAATCTTGAACTTCAATTCCAGATGAGACTCCCTCTGCCCCACATTATCTCAGGACTGCTAGTGATGATCTCAAAAAGTCATTTCCAATCACTATAAAACTTCCTCGTTCATAAATACTCACATAGCTTCTGCTGTTGCTATTTTGAGCTCTTGGAATTTATCTTCTTCTGGAGGTTGACTAGTTACTTCTTTTTTTTCCCTAGAGAAATGTGAAAAAAGTTAGAGACGATTAGAGCTTTCTTAGACAAATATTTCCAAGTGCTTACTAACTGGCAGGTATTATACTTAATGTTACATGACATAAATAGATGAGTAAACAAAAATGGTCAATGGCCTCAAGATGACTATGCTCAACTCAGAAAGCATGGCATGCAAGCAACTAACTATAACATACAAGAAAATAAAGTGAATGCTAAAGAACAGCACCCACACTGTGCTATGAAAACACAGAAAAGGGGAGTAACTGTTCTGACGAGGCAGTCAATGGAGGCTTTCCCAAGGAGGTGGTATTTGTATTAGAAAAAATGGGTGAGAAATACGGCAAATACCAGAAACAACACATAAAAAGCTAGTGAGGTGTACACACCAGCTCCCTGACCAGACTGGAATTAAAAGTGGTTAGAAGGATGTAGTTAAAAATGAGGCTGGAACCCTGGCTGGTGTGGCTCAGTAGACTGAGTGCCCGCCTGCTAACTGAAAGGTCACCAGTTCAATTTCCAGTTGGGGCACATGTCTGGGTTGCAGGCTAAGTCCCTAGTTGGGTGCGAGCAAGAGGCAACCAACTGATGCATCTCTTGCACATCGATGTTTCTCTCCCTCCCTCCCCCATTCTCTAAAAATAAACAAAAAAATGTTTTAAAAATATGAGGCTGGAGACAACAAACACAACTATCAACAAATGAACCTAAAAGAAAAGAAAAACAATGAAAACAAAAACTAAGCAAACATCCAGAACAGGAACAGAACTAGAGAAATGGACATCACACAGAGGGGTTCAGTGGGGAGGGGGAAGGGAGGAATGGGGGGAAAGACTACAGGGAAGAAGCATAATTAGTAGGCATAAAATAGATGGGGAGAGATAAAAATGGTGTAGCAAACAGAGGACTCAAAGAATTTACATGTACAACCTATGGACATGAACTAAGGGGGGGCAGGGAATGCTGGAGGGTTGGGGGGCAGGGTGGAAGAGTTGGATAAAGGGGGAAAAATTGGGGAAACTCTAATAGCGTAGTCAATAAAAAATACTAAAAAAAAATGAGGCTGGAAAAGTGAGCTAAAGTCAGATTAAGGGCTATCTCAAATGCCATAACAGTATCTGCTATGTTTTTCCTATAAATATATAGATTCACTAGCTTTTCTGAGGATAACACACCTCTTTCATCTGACCATCCAGATACACTGGGCCTATGGGTCTCTCTCTCAATCCTGAATGAGTCCTGGAGTTTGCTTGCCTATAATGCTCAGACCCCTTGAACTGTAAGATAAGGCAGAGACCAGACGGAGAAGACATTCCACACTATGCCAGAACACAAGTACATCATAAGAAGGCACAAGGCAAGCCATCAACACCAATACTCTCATGTCATTGGCCAGAAAACACTAGTGACTCGCCCAAAGTCACATATTAGTCAGAACAGAGCCAGGACAGGGCCTAGATCATCAGTCATCTTACTCTTTGAACACAGTCATACAGGCGCCTTCTCTGATGGCCTATGGCTGTCTTCAAACTGACAGATGAGGCCTCTGGGGTTTACACAGATTCATACACAGGAGCTTACTCAGTGTCCTCGTCCTTTGGGCAGGTGACCGAGCTCACATCTTCCTCACATGACTGCTCATCGCCCCTGGGTTCCTGTCTCACTTTCAGATCCGGGCTTGTGTGAAGGGTGCCAATCTTCTCAGTAGTTTTACGCACAAAGCTAGAAACACTGGAAGTCAAATACCAAAAAACTAGTTTGAAAAACATCTCATTACTGACAAAAATGAAAAATTCAGTACCTAGCTCTCTATGTTCCTACTAGTCCCAGGAAGGCCACTTGAACTTAGTAAAATGAAAGACTGTTTACAGCAACTTCCCTAACCAACTTCATAGTTCACATATGGTCCACAGAAAATTCACAAAATTATAAGGATTCACTGCATTTACTAAACTGCCTTGATTAGGTACTAAAGAAAAAGTCTTTAACTCTGGTTGCATCTGCAATGTTTATGACAACTCAGGCAAAGCAGGTCATGTGACCACCTGCCCCCAACCTGGCCAGAGAATTTCTTCATGAAACTCAGCTGCCAACTAGTCACAACGTATCCTTCTTAATAAGCCAAATTTGTATGCAGTGAGACAGATAAGCAGTGAAGCAGCTGTACAAGGTCTTCTCTCTCAGAGTCGGATGCCAATTCTGGTCCCATGGAGTAACTAGAAAGACTTCCGAAGTCTCCAATTCTGAGTCTAAACTGAGAAAGGATCAAGAAATGACCAATGATATATGGAAAGTGCTCCTATGAGGAATGAGAAAAAAATCAGATTTTTAAACTTTTGCCATCTGTGGGTTAAAGAACGCATCTAGAACAACTCGAATATTCACCTATTCAAACAAAGAGGGAAGCTAAATTCCCCAAGGTGGTAATAAGAAGTTAACAGCTCCATACACCAGGTGATGTGAGAAATAACCTAGAGACTTCCTTTTTTCTCATTTAAAATGTTTTTCCATTCTCAGCACAAAAGTACCCAAGGTGACAAGTGAATTAAAACCAGAATGGAATTCAATGACAAGACTGTTCGGTTTACCTTTCCTTGACAGCCTGAAGAGACACGAGAGGAGATGGAGAGCGAAATGATAATGGGATGCCGAAGGGGAGAAAAGTTTCGTTCTTATCTGTCTCGAACGTCACTGGAACATGAGAAACATTGTCTGATGAATGGAATCGGGGGAAAGAAACAAAATCTAATCACACGGGAGTTTTGTAATCTTTAAAGAAATTCTGAAATAAATGAACCAAAGGAAATGAAGGATTCAATACTCAAATCACAACGGACTCAGATACAAATGAGCAGAACACAGGTTTGCAAGATGCATGGGATGGCCCACATATGAAACACTGAGGCAGGTACGTTCATCTTCCTACTAACCCTGAATCCCCATAAGTCAAAAAAGAAGTTTAGAGTCTCTATTAGTATCTTCTCGACAGTTCGGTCACGGGAATGCTCAAACATCAAAAAGTGTAGGCAATGGCCCCAAAGTGTAGTAATTTTTCATTCCTGATGGAAAATAATTTGGTTAGTCAGAATAAAATTGTCCTATACTTTTGGTTAATAATCTCCTTTCTTGACCTTTCCAGCATTTTGATGCATGATTAAAATTAGGTACTTTACCAATGTTAGCTTAGACCCGAGAGGAAAAAAACAACAACTAAACATAAATCCATTCTTCTCCTGGTGAGCAGATCCATAGGTCTGGATGGAATGTCTATTAATACAATAACAATTCTTTACACTTCATAGAAAGTTCTATGCACAAGATAAGCCTGGCAAATAAAAATGACAGAAAGTAAGTGTTTCACTCCTGCAACCAATAAAAGACACACTCATCACCTTCACCTCCGTGTGAGCTGCAGCCCGGATCTGGCTGGTCCTCTTCCTGATGGGAGGTGAATTCTCTAAGTCTCTCGTCTTCTGAGAGAGTTTGGCTGTGAAGGGAACAAGAGTCTTCATCTGACTGACTGCCTCTTCTACTACTAATGACACGATAAATACCAGAGTCCAAGATGCTGAAACTTTCCTAAAAAGAATTAAAAAAAAAAAAATCAAAGCAAAACTTTATAACGCAATATAGCTTTTTAAGAGAAAAATCAACGGTAAAAGCAGCAAACCAATAATAACAACACAGCTAACTAGGATGAGGTGGTGGACAAGGTCACGGCCCCGGCAGCTGGGTCGCCCGCCGTCCCATACTGGTGGCATCCTGCTACCACATTTCCCTCGCTTGTCTCCATAAAGCCTGCCAGTGAGAATGGGGGTTGAACTAGGCAATCCCGAGCTGTGCTGAGACTCAAATTAGCATTAAGAATCTGAAATCGCATATTAGGAACAACTTAACTTGTGCTAGAGGCTCTATGAGGTGCATTTGCAAACATAACTTAATTAAAAATGACAAAAAAAAAAATGTGGCTCCCAGACAAAGCTTAATGGAGGCTTCACGGGCTGCCCAACAGCTGAAAGCAAGCCTTCCTAGGCCCCCCCAAATCTATTATATAGAAAGGAAGACAAGTTTGGGGGCCCTAGAGATGAATGCAACCTAGTGCAAAAAATCTCACTGTACAGAAAAACCCTTTTAAAAGTAAGAATACCTACATGTGATGAAATGGAACTTCTCCTACTACTGCAATCTGAATCCAAAGGCTCAAATTTTAAGATCAATTCTTCCAGTTGAGAAATCAAATCACTATAGGTTGTGAGGTCCAGCTGAGATTTCAAATGCTCCAACTTATCTACAGTCAAAGATTTTCTTCCCTAATAAAACAAACACAAACAAAAAGCTTAACAAGCTGGCAAAAGACTTAATGAGAATTACCTTAGGAATTAAGAAGTTAATTAGGAATTACCATATGCCCAATCACCCTGCTTAAAACAAGGTCTGAAAATCAAATCGATTTGTGGGTAAACTTGGGAATTTTTTTTTAATGGAAAGTAGACCCTTTTTCTTGCCCTCCACCCACCCCTGGATTTGTCTGTCACACTTCCTTTGGGAATTCACTGCTGCTTTTTCTGCAGCTCATAGAGAAAAAGCTAGTAAAGCTAACCAATTTTAGAGCATAATTGGTTTTAACAACCCAGATAAACATGTACGCTCCGACTTACCCTGCCCGCAATGAGAGAATTCTGGAAGAGGCAGCAAGTGCGAGCAGCCAGGTCCCACAGCCCTCGCCTTAGCAGGCGCTCCACACAACGCTCCACAGACACGAGGGACAGGTGCGAGATTTTCCCGCTCAGGTGCAAACAGAACAGCTCGTTCTTGCAGACCGCCACATCCTGGATATCTACAAAAACCACAGGGGTGAACGCACAGTGTTGGCCAAACATTCCTCTTCTATTTCTGCAAGGGATGAGGCTATTCTAATAAATTCACTATTTATATAGGTTTGGCTTGATTGAACTTTTATCTGTTTCATATTTGCATTTCGACAAAGAAATCATATTTTAGAGACTATTCTTAAAGGAACAAGAATAAAAGATACAGAATAAGAAACACATCTCTCAGATCTAAAAATCCTATGTTTAAAAATGCTAATTTCAGCCCTGCCTGGTGTAGCTCAGTGGATTGAGCACGGGCCTGCGAACCAAAAGATCACGGTTTGATTCCCCATCAGGGCACATGCCTGGGTTGCAGGCCAGTTCCCAGCAGGGGATGCACCAGAAGCAACCACACATTGATGTTTCTCTCCTTCTCTGCCCCTCTAAAGATAAATAAATAAAATAAATAAATATATATATATAAAAATGCTAATTTCCATGAAAAAGAGATTTGGGACTTTAATAAAAGAGGGCACTCTACATAGGAGACCAGACTGGGACACTTCTGAGAGTTACGATCTGATGTCAATGAATGGATTTTAATATAGTGTGTAAATCAACAGTTTATGGAAAAACAGAACATCATGAAAGTACTCAAAGGATATCTGGAAATTAAGAACTAGTTTGATATCACTTACATGTGAAATCTAAAAAGACAGTCTCAGAAACCACAGAATGGTGATTTCCAGGGACTGGGGACTTGGGGGAACTGGGGACATGCTGGTCAAAGGACACACACGTGCAATTAGAAGATGAGTAAATTCTAGAGATCTAATGCACAGCACCGTGATTACAGCCAACGATACAGTGTTATATATATATGTGTGTGTATATATATATATATATATATATACACTTCAAAGTGGCTAAGAGTCTGGACCTTAAACGGTCTCACTGCAGAAGGTGGTAATCATACTGCAAATATATAAAAGTATCAAATAAACATTTTGCATAACCTTAAACTTACTCAATGTATATGTCAATTTTTAAAAAAACCAAAAAGAAAAACACACTATTTTTCATGGCACACCCATAGAGTATTTAACCCACAAGAAATCAATGTTCATCAGATCGGTAAATAAAGGTTTCTTCTTTTTATGTTCTTACAAAGCAGAAAATGACCCCAAATTCAACCCTGAGCAGCAATGTTAAAAAAGCTGGACTTCCTCTATTTCTGATTTTAATCAAAAGAATGCAGAGATTGATTTTCTCTGTCTCAGCCCTCCACAATGGCTATTGTTCCCACAAGGACTTTTTGAACCCCAAACTACTGAGACAAAAAAACAGGAGTTAAAGCAAGACTTCTAATAGGAGTAAAGATTCAGCCCTGGGTGGTGTGGCTCAGTGGATTGAGTGCCAGCCTGTGAGCCTGGGGGTTAGCAGTTTGATTCCCAGTTGGGGCACATGCTTGGGTTGCGGGCTGGGTCCCTGGTGGGGGGTGTGCTAGAGGCAACTACACATTGATGTTTCTTTCTCCCTTCCTTTCCCCTTTCTAAAAATAAATGAATAAAATCTAAAAAACAAACAAAAAAAAGACTCATGGTAAGTAGAGAGAAAAAAATTTACCCATTCAGTCCTTGGCAGTGTTTACTAATACTTAGGAATAAATAAATACTCTTAATAAAAGTTTAAAAAGCATGAATAACTAAACACAAATTCACAAATGTATGTTTGTGAACTACATAAACAAAAAGAAACAGCTATGTCTGTGAATTACAAAAAGAAACAGCTATGATACTGATGTTTAAAAGAAATGTCACCTCGTTCTATTTTTCTACATTTTATACTACAAGAGAATCCTCCTATAAAATTCAAACTTTCACAAGCATGAGATTATAAATTACATAAGAAAAAATGTAATTACCTTTGACTTCACTCCAAAGAAGAACTTGAACATTCTGAGGAATGAAAATATAAATTCCTCTTTCTGTCCAACTTGACACACAATGCTCACTGCAAGGAAAACAGGAAGGAGTCAAGAGATTTCTAGTGTGCTCAGATATAGAACTTTATAACCCACTGAATTCAGACATTAGCTACCAAAGTAAAATCAGGCTGCAGAAAGAAAATCAATCAAGTCCTAAAGCCTCTTTTCTGTCTATAACATACCACTAAAACCAAACAAGTACACACATTATATAATGCCAAACTGGGAAATATATATATGCTGAATATCTTCTAGACAAAGAAATGGCTAGTCTCTTTCCCTGATGTCTGTTAAAGCTGCTAAACTTCCTATGTGGTATGACAAGGATACATTTAAAACAAAGACTAAACATGAACCAAAGGATCTCGGTTCAATTTCCAGACAGGGCGCATGCCTGGGATGCAGGCCAGTTCCCACCAGGGGACGCACAAGAGGCAACCATACATTAATATTTCTCTCTCTCTCTCCTTCCCTTCCCCTCTAAAGATAAATAAATAAAATCTTTAAAAAAAAAAAACCAAAGACTAAACATAATGTCTCATCACCAATCATTGCCACTTTCAGGGATGTTAACATTTTGACGTCCTTAGTTGTGTATGAACAAGGAAAAGACCTTTATTAAAAGACGCTACTTATATTACCTAACCATAAGTGTAGCAACTCATCAACACAGATGTGTTACCCCTACTCAAAACAGACAGACAGACAGACAGACAGACAAACGAACAAAACCCGCCAGCCCTGGCTGGTGTGGCTCAGTAGACTGAGTACTGGCCTGCAAACCAAGAGGTTGCTGGTTCAATTCCCAGTCAGGGTTTTCATGCCTGGGTTGTGGGCCAGGTCCCACACAGGGGACATGAAAGGGGCAACCAATCGATGTTTCTCTTTCTCTCTCTCTTCCTTCCCTTCCCTCTTAAACTAAATAAATAAAATCTTAAAAAAACAAAACAAAACCACAACGATGACAAAAACACGCAGAAACATGAAAATATATGCCCAAGGCCATTCAGCAAGAGTCAAAATTTATACTAAGAATCATCTGGCTCCAAAACCTAGACTTTTTTTGTCTGTGTCATAAAACCTACTTCTTCTTCCCACCTTCATCCTGAACTAACCCCATCCACTGTTATCTGGAATCCTGATTATTCCATATAACTGCATTCTCAAAAAGTCATAGATCTCCTAACTGCCCAACCCAACACCCCTTCCTCATTTCACTTCTTGTTCCCCAAGTAGGAGCCACCCCACTGGCTGTTCCTTCCTGAATCTCGCCCCTTGGACTCTGGGCCACTGCACTTGCCCCGTCAGCCTTCCCTCCCAGCTCCAGCCGTGGTACTCTTCGTCTCTGCCCATCTCTTTCTATACTGCTCCTTTGCTCACCTATCTCTCTTTCTCAAAGCTGCTACTACTTTTTGTGTACCACCAGTACTCTATGCTTCTTACCCCTCACCAGGGAGGTCCTCAGCTTAAAATGTTCTATTCTGACCACCTCTCAAGGATGAGCAGAAGCTGCACTCCCCTCTGAAATCCCTCTCTGATGGCTCACAGCAATCGCTTTTCCTCCTGTACCCAGCCTGTCTCCTGCCAACCCTGCTCACATGGCACTTAATCATGTACTGCACTGTCACACTCTTATTTTTTATTGTTGTTAAACTTTTTGTAGAACTAAACCACATCTTTCCAACAAAATATAATCTTGAGAACATGGATTTTTTTATGCACCCAATAATACTAAAAATGATACCATGTACAATGAAACTAAAAGTGATATTTAACACAAACGTTAAACACTTTGCCAATATAAGAAAGACCAGACCATGTGAAAAAGTAATCTTTGCCACAAAGATGAAAGATACAGTCAGAATCCTAGTCCAAGGAGTAAAATTGGAAGGCTATCTTCGGGAGCCAAAGGAGAAAAAAATGAGAGGCCAGAGGATCCCTGAGTAAAGAGATACAGGATCATGATTTTGATACTGAACTTGATATTCATCTTGGAAAGCTTCCTTAGGAATAGCAACCTAGATTAGATTGAAGGAAGGGCAGGTAGGGGTACAGAATAGATAAGAGCTGATACTTTGTAGTTTCTATATCCCTCATCCCCTTTCCCCTTCACTGATAACAACAGACTGGGATATAAGCCTAACACATTGTTTAAGAAGGGAAAGTGTTATCAGTGTACCCAAAAAGAAACAAAGTATGTAAGTTTGCTTTCTTGAGGGATCTGTGGGTGCAACAGTAAAGGTTACCAGGAGACACAAGTGTACAAGTAGGAGATAATAAATAAACAGAAATAAAAGCCCTCCTATTCATGGTTTCTCCAATCTCTGTTGAATTCTTTAAAAAAATTTATTTATTTATTTATTTATTTTTAGACAGAAGGGAAGGGGGAGAGAGAGAAGGAGAGAAACATCAATGTGTAGTTGCCTCTTAAACACCTCCCACAGGGGACCTGGCTCACAACCCAGGCAGGTGCCCTGACAGGGAAAAAAACCAGCGACCCTTTGGATCACAGACCAGTGCTCAATCCACTGAGCCACACCAGCCAGAACTGTTGAATTCTTTAATTTAGCTCTTATTTGACAGCCTTACGTGTGCCTAGCAGTGTACCCACAGTAAGGGAATCGACAAGCGGGTGCTGGGATGGGTGTTGGTGGTACAGCGGAATGGGGGATGATGAAGGAATGAACGCAGCATGACCACAGTGCACAGCAATGACTGCCCAGTCTCAGCCGCATCAGGAGTCAGCAAAGGCTTCAAAGTGGCATTAATTATTGTTTATGCTGAGAAGCAGGCAGAGCCAAATCATGAAGGGATTTGTTTGCTGTGGCAGAAACTGTAATGAGAGCTTTAAAGAGCTTTAACTCAAAGGAACAACAACTCTACCAGGAGAAGCAAGAAGACTGTGGCCTCACATGAGAAAACATACTTTTGGGTAAGGGATCCCCCCCACACCTCACATATCACACTACAGTCACAAATATGTATTAAGTGTCTCTACACGCTAGGCACTACACAAAGCACTGAGAATAAAATAGTGAATAAAACAGACCCTTGTGGAATTTACAGTCTAGGAGTAAGACAGGCATAAATACTGCATGAAAACCTAATTTTACACTGTAGAAGTGACATAAAGAAAATGTTTAGTATGCTTTATCTAATATGGGAAAAATATAGCTATCTTTCTCCAGTAACTTTCAGGATGCATTACAGATTTATTAAGTGTTATACTGTTTACAATTTACTTTTAAATACTTCAGTTAACATGGTAAGATATATACAGATTAGTTAGAGGCAATTAGGTAACATTTCAAGTGTTTAAACAAATGACATTCTAAGAGCAGTTACTTTGCTTTTGAAAAACCCCAATCATTCTCTGAATCTGCATTGGAAATCTTATGCATTAGCCTAAGGGATATTAGAAATAAGTTTTCATTGTTGAAACTAAGTAGAGCTCCGGATACAAAAACTGGCTGGAAACCATACCGACACCCTGATGCTTGCAGAACAAGGTGTAAGAATTAGCAAGACCAGCAGCCTTTACTGGCATTCCGTGTTGCCACTTAGTAATGGACTTTTGCATCGAATCAAACTGGAAGGGCTAACTGAACCCTCACATTAAAATATGGCTGGCTGAATCTACCTCAGGCAGATCTTTCATGCAAGGCACTTGTCAGAGTAACTAAAGACAGAGAGCTGAAATTTCACCACACTTACGAGAGCAAGTTCTAGAACTACTTTTGCCCTTGCCTGCTAAGAAACATACATATGTACGGCAGACTTCAGACCGAAACTTGCTTTCACTGTAACATTCCACCAGCTAGGGGCGGTTATGAATGAATGAGCACCTGCACCTCTCAACTCTGCCGAAGTTCCCTGGCAATCCTAAACGGCCCAGTTAGTTTAGGTCAGTTCAAAACAGAAAACAAAGCATATTTCTATGACCTTTTCATTCCTCTTATATACAGAACACTTCACGTAACACAATCTTTTCCTAATTTTCTAAAAATAATTTAATACAAAAACAATCTTGAAAAGATAACTGCCCTTGAACAAGAAACAAAGAGAAAAGGGTGTGTGTGTGTGTGTGTGTGTGTGTGTGTGTTTAAGGATCAAAGGGAGAAACTTACCTAAGATGCAAAAGTTTGGGGAAAGACAAAGACTGGGAGGATCCAACCGTATGATCGTACTGAGGTTCTGATCTAGAAAGTAAATACACCTGTTAATGACTTCATCTCAATATTAAAGTTTGCTTTTACCGACAGAGGAAAATCTTTGCCTCCAAACAAAACCCAAAAGCCTAACTGCATCTGCCCTTACTCAACTTCCTTTAAATCATATGAAGGATAATTGATGGAACACTTTTTGGATTCTCTGATTTTTTAAATAAAAATCTTAATTCATTATTAAAAGACTTAATAAAATCTTTAATGCATATAGAATATAAAAGACTTCAACCCAACCCCTCTGTGTAAGTTCCTCAAACACCCCCTACCAGCCACACAAGTCATATCTTACCTTAGAGTAATCACAGGGAGAGGGGGCGACGAGAGGAGTTTCTTAAACTGATGGGTACTTATAACTTCCCCATCGAAGTTCACTTCCCACATCCTGGAGCCAGGGCGGGCACAATATATGAGGGGCTGCTGGCCCGCAGAACACCTTCCAGGGAAGAAACAAGCTCCATATTCTCCATCTCTCTCCTTGTTTCCAATTTTCCAAAATTTTTCTCTAACACCCAAAAAGAAAGAGAAAGCATGTTTACAAAAAAGCCAAACCCAACGGCACTCCCAATCAGCATGGCCGTGGTGACGGCGCCCACCAAGTCCTCTCTCTGTTCATGTCAGCTCACACTACTTTGCAGAACAACAGAATGGGAAGGTCACACAGGTTCTAGCTCTGATTTGCCTCAAGCTATTTCTGTGACAGGAGACAAAATATTTCCCATTAATTCATTATCCACAGAATGAGGGGCTCAGAATTAATGTGAACGTCCCTTTCGAGTCTAACGAATGAGCGCCTGGCATCATCTCACACGTCTGTAAACGCGGCTGATGGCTTCCCAAATCGCCTTCTTTGGCCGCTCCGTGAACAGCTCACTACATCCCCAGCTCTGTCTCCAAGCTGCTCCCCTGCCACGAATGCCCAGTAACCTCCTCACTCCTGCCTCAAAACGCTAAGTCCTTCTGAAACTGCGCCTTGGAACACTCTGTTGCTTTATGATTACATGAGCTAGATATATAAAAGAGCTTAGCACACTGCCTGGGAACATGGAGGGCGCCAGTGATGAGGCTTTCTCTTCCTGAAAACTCCCTTTCTCTTCACGACGGAGCTGGAGCTCCATCACTCTTCCTGAGATTTCCCTGACTCTCACAAGCTGAGTTACATGCTTCCCATGCTATATTTTCTTTTTTTTCTTAAAGGAATTCATCATCACCAAGCCCTTATTTTATTTTTTAAAAATTGTTTGTTTTTAGAGAGAGGAGAGGGGGGAGAAAGAGAGAGAGAAACATCAATGTGTGGCTGCCTCTCACACGGCCCCCACTGGGGACCTGGTCCACAACCCAGGCATGTGCCCTGACTGGGAATTGAACTGGCAACCCTTTGGTTCTCAGCCCGTGCTCAATCCACTGTGCTACACCAGCCAGGGCCCATGCTATATTTTCATAGCACCTTCCACATTATACATGGCAATTGTGTCTACTCAAACAGTACAACTTTCTCCAAGACAAAGGCCATTTCTCATTCCTCTTTACTTGAGTTCTCAGCATACAGCACAGCACCTGGCCCACAGAAATTACTCAACACAATGTAGTGCTCTATACACTCAAACCTTTTTTTTTAGCTGCAGAGCTGTTGGCTTTGTCATTGGATGAACACACTCAAGCCCTTTTATTGAAGAACAATCTAATATACTCTCCAGTGAATTTACTATGGGACCCTAGATAATTCAATAAATAAGCCTATTTCCTTTGTGAATAAAATATAACATCAGTTTAACTCTCAGAATGTGAATGTGAAAGTGCTTTGAAATGTGCAATATAGAAAGTTATGGTTTTATTACTTATGTTCCTTATTTGGGAAATAAAATATATCCCTTGTTTATTTTATACCCTCTGTGATGCTTAATACAGTGAACAGGATCCAGAGTAGAATAAATGTTTGCTGAGTGAATACAGATAACTCATTTGTCTACTCACTAATCTTGTTTTAGCCATTTTCAAACAATATGTGACAGGCACAAAGCTAAGCACTTCATACGCATTATCTTAGTTAATCCCGAAAACTACCCCTACACTCTGGAAGCGGAAGCTGATCGTCTGGCAAGGTTTAAAAAGTGGCAGGACCGGAACTCGAAGGCATGTTGTCAGGCTCCGTCACCCAGTGTTCTCTCCACTACACCACAGCTCTTCCTTTCTGTTTGCTCTGCTCCTCCCCGGATCCACCTCACACATTAATAGAACTGACAGAATGTAAACAGTACTGACAGGGAGGAGACAGTGGCTGGCGGGAGAAGCAAATTTGAATCTGTCACTCCTGTTAGTTATTAGGAGCCTCAGTTTTTTTTTTTCTTAAGTTCGTTGGGAGGGAATATAGATTGACATGCCCCCCAAACTGACTTCTAGCTTACAGAAAGTGGACATTTATAAAATATGTTATTTTGGTGAACAGGTCTACGTTATTCTCATAACCAACTCTAGCCACAATCCTGTGAAATGGGAAAATAATGATTCACAACTCTGCTGCAGAGGGAAAAAGGAAAGCTCCACTTATTTGGCTCTTAACTTTTAAGTCTTTCAGATATTATCATTTTATCAAATCCTCAAAACAACCCAATAGGGCGCTTTCAGTTCGCTATTCTGAGCACTTATTAGAATTTCAGCCAAATTTCTGAATCAGGCCAGTTGGTCAACTGAAAAACCTACAGATGAAAAATAGTTAAGAACTTTGGGAAACCAACAAATATTTTACCAAAATCTCAAGGGTAGAGCTAATGGCCAAGGGCTCAACGTCAAAGGATGTATTAGAGGTGCATGAGGTAACAGCGAGGAACAGAATCAACACCGAAGGTTCTAGCCTCTGCGCAGCCAGGCCCAGGCTTCCTGATCTACACACAGGAAAGGGCGACACCAGACGGTCTCCAGTTCTGAAAGTCTGACTTCATCGCTGAACTATAATCTGAAATATCTCAGAAGAAAGCGTGTCATCCTTCCCATAATTGCATGTAAAATGACCACTTGCATCTTGAAGCCTTGTCTCTCTGCTGTGCAGCCAGGTTCTCTGATACCAGACACCTGCCACCTGCTGTAATTGGCCTCCTTCCCATGTGCCTTTCTCGCCCAGAGGAAAAACAAAAACAAAGTATATCCCTCCTCATCCTTTCCTCTACCATCCCTGATAGTCAGCACACATTTCTTCAAACCTTTTGGAATAGTCTCAGGCTTTCCCGAATAGCAATCTCCTGAGATACATGAAGCCGTGGAAATAAACCTTCCAAGCCTGGATAGTTCTAAGGGAATCAATTTCCAAACCCTGCTTTTCTATATGTACACTTTCTCAAAATGATCTGAGAACCCACCGACTTAGTCAGTGTGACATTTAAGGCTGTCACGCTCAGTATGGTGCGACTTTTAACAACCCGATCTCCCACAGCTCCCCTGCGCAAGCCAGGCGGCAGGTTCTAGAACATGCTGATGTCTCTCTCACTTTCCCCCACAGGGCTGTTTCTTCCTGCTAGAATATCACCCCTGCACCTCTCCCTCCAAACTTCATCTACCAACAATCCCCATCAAAATTACTGCAGCTGGCTAATGGATTCACGGGAGTTCACTAAACATTTCTCTTTTCTGTGTGTTCAAAATTCTCCCCAAAATATTTTTAAAAGAGGGAAGTCCTTAAGGAATATGGGGTAGGGGGAAGCCAGTGAAAATTTCCCTGCAGTGAGAATAGTGGAGAAACTTTAGCACAGTGATGTATAATATTCATTTAAGATGTTTCCATTCTGTTCTGGTATTATCACTGCTACCTCTAATACACTCCTTTGCCATTCATTGGACCTTTGGCTCTCTGCTCTTGAGATTTTGGTAGACTATTTGTCGGCTTCACAATTTCTTCATTATTCTTCATCTAATTTTACCCTTTAGTAACATTTCATTAAATACACAACAAATTTAGCCCTGGATGACGTGGCTCAGTGGACTGATCACACGCCTGCAGACTGAAGGGTCGCTGGTTTGATTCCTGGTCAGGGCACATGCCTGGGTTGCAGGCCAGGTACCCAGGTGGTGGTGTATAAAGCAACTGATTCATGTATCTCTCACACGTTTCTCTCCTTCTCTTTCTCCCTCCTTTCCCCGCTCTCTAAAAAATAAATAAAACCTTTAAAAATAAATACGCAAGAAATTTAAACAAGAACAAATCCAATTAAGGAAGACTTTCTGATTCCCCACATTAAAACAGGCCTTTGTTTGGCCTTCCTTCATGGCACTCAACCACGTTTCATGTAGAGCTAGTAGAATTTGTATTGGTCACCCACTGGAGTAGCTCCGTGTCCCCATCTCTTCTCTGCTCTCTACCATCAGCTCGCACACGGCTGGCTCCTTATTAATATCTGCATAATTAAATTGAGGAGTTTGGGCTACATGAATCCTAAGCCCCTTCCAGTTCTAAAATTCTGTACATCCTACAACCCACGGTCGGTCCATATACCTCTCGGTGTCACACAAGAAGGATCGAGTGAGTGAAGATATAAGTAGTCTCCCGTCCAAATAATCTAACTGGACCACACAGGAGTCAACTGTCGTTATTGTCTGAACGGGAAACATCACAAAGGCAGCAGCTGCCTAAAAGGGACATGAGAAGGAAACGAAGTTTATTGATCACCCCATATACACATAATCTCCTTCTCTTTACCTTTTAAATGAAAATACCCTGGGTAGCAAAATAAAAACTTTTAATGGGCCAAAACTGAATTTGTCTATTGGGAATATCAAAGCTATGTGAAATAATTTGGTACACAATTGCAGAAGTGTTTTTTTATTCTTGTATTATTATTTATTAATTTTTATGTTTTTTTCTTTTTTTATCGTTTATGTAGTTTTCTCCATTCTCCCCCCACCCCACCTCCCACCCTCGATCCTACCCACCTTTGGCTTTGTCCATGTGTCCTTTATACCTGTTCCTTGATGACCCTTCCCCCCCATTATTCCCTCCCACCTTCCAGAAGTAAATTCTTAAGGCTCTGTTTGTGATGATCTAATTCTAGAGGTTGGAATAAAATGATGAACCAAGTTTTCAAATATGTAAAGGAATTTTTCACCTGTGCAAAGTACTTCTACCTTTGGAAGAAAGACAAATTAGGGCTAACTGTATTCTGGATCAAAACTATAAGGAATCAAGTGATAGCTCTGATGGGTCATCATGACCAAATAAGATTTGTTAATTAAAATGAAGTAATTTACCAACGCTAGTAAGAGATTCTCTTTTCTGCCAGGATCCTACATGGAAATAAGCCAATGAAAGGCAAGTTCCCCACTTCCAATATAACAATAACCTTTGGAGGAGAGAGGCAGTGCAAAGCTGGCCTAATGACAGACTGGAGCATTCTAGTAGGGTAACCTGAGACTCAACCCTTCTGTTTCAACAGTGACTGTGATGGGAAGCCTGGGATCCTGCACAGTGGAGCACAATCCAGAAGGTGCCTTTAAGATTCCATTCACAGTAAGCTACACCATCCTCAGAGAAAATATACCTTGATCCATGAATTTCTTCTACCCTTACAAAGGAGCCTGGGCAACTGTTTGGCATTTTATTTACACAACTGATAAACAGGTATCTTTCTTAATAGACTAGTATTAAAGGATGCTTTATTTAAGCTAGCCATACAGGTGAATTATGGAGTGCTGTAATGGACAAAGGGTAAATTACTAAAGTTAGCTCACAGAAGCCATTCTGCAACGGCATCAAACCAGTCTCCTCAAAATTAACATTCTGGATTCCAGATCAGTTTCCCAAGAAATTCAGTAGATGAAATGTGCCCTTTATTGTGTCCTTTATTTGAAATTCTGACACCTTTTCTCTCTCTCACATACAAAAAGAGCTAGACTGATTCTCACCTTTGCTTGTTTAGAAGTGTTGAGTTTGATGGCCGAAACCTTCCCCATGTGATCACCCACAAAAACTCGAAGAACCGCTGTATCCCAACAGAGAGCTGTGACTCTTTGGCCCTTGTGTTCTGAAGACACATAAATTCTTTCTGGTTTCCCACGGCGCTCTTGATTTAATTCCCAAACAACCACAAGACCTTGACTGCAAGAATTGAGTTACAGAAGCAAATTTTTGGCACTGGTGAAAAAGGTATACTTTAATTGCATCACACTATCAATTATATTAAATATATATGTAAACTTGTTCTTTAAAAACAGGAAATACAAAGTCAAGGTATTAATTTCCTTAAATCAGTCCCCTAATCCAGCACAACAGGATTTAGATGCTCTACATTATCTGTTCCCTTTCTCTCTTAGGCCCAATGAAATGTTGTTGCCACATACTGGCATTTTCCACAAACGCTAGGGTGACCAACTGTGCATCCCAGTTTGCTGGGGACGGAGAAGTTTCCTAGCACACAGCACTCTCAGTGCTAAAAACTGGAACAGTCTTGGGCAAAATGTGATGGGCCGTCATCCTAACAAACACACAGCTACATTTGTTAACTTAAAATGCACTTGGACAAAATCGGATAGTTTTAAGACAAGTTCTTACCTGGTAGCCACAGCAACATAATCATCGTCGTGTGAACAACAGGCAACCTGAGAAATCGCACCTTCCTAGAGGACAGAAAGAAAAGTTTTAGGCAGTTTCTCAAAAATGGTATATTTTTCCTTCTAAATGTTAACTTTCACATTTTTCTTTTATTCCAAATGATTACTTATAATGGAGAAACTGGCACTGATGAGATAGTCCAAGTGGTATACAACAGGGCTACCCTTAACCTTACCCTGTGGGAAAGAAAAAGCCTGTGCTTCCAGCCTTCTTTCTGAATGAGGTTGAGACCTCCGCCCGAACTGCCCAAAGCCAGCCATTTCCGAGACACAGCTATGCTCGTGCACTAAAAACGGGGAAACAGACAAGCGTGAGATCACCAGTCATTTAATTGAATAAACTGTCCACTGGAAAAAAACACGGAGGATCTGTGTACCAGGTTCCTCCCCGACCCCACCCCTGCCCAACTGGACACCACACAATGTCACTCAGGCTCTCATTCTCGTACACTGAAAAATACAGAAGAAAGAACATCTGGGCTTTAAATTGTTAACTTAGTCTCAAAATGGATCAATAGGCTTGATTATACAAGTAAGTAATCTTCCCTTGGCCAAAGCCAGTTACTAAACCATTCGCCTTCTGTGTAACTTAGCTCGGTCATTCCAATGCTGACCACGATGATGGAGATCAAGTAAGTCTCCACGGATAAAACCACCACTTTAATCACTTGCTCGCTTAAATAATTTCTTGTTTGTACAATCAGCACAAAGCTCCCAAAGCTTTTAGAGCAAGTGAAACTGCAGAGGACAGATGAAGGTCCCTGTACCACGTCTCACTACACCCTCAACCCGACAATTCCCCCCTTAGCCACCAGAGAAAGCAGTGGCCACGCTGTGGCCCCACAGTAAAAACTGTTGGCTGGCTGACAAACAGACATTCCCAAACTCTTCAGGCTCGCGGCATTCTACTACAGAAGCTAGAAAACCTAAATATTCGCTCACCCAGTTTCTCTTGAAGTTATAAGGAGCCATGTGGCTCAAATCCAGCTAATAAAACTAAGATGACAGGGCTCCTTGGATAGCTCTACCTTCCCAGATAAAAGGCAGAGTCTGAAGAAAAAAAAGCCCTTACCTTTGACCCCTTTTTCTTGCTTGCGATACTAATGGACACACCAAGATCAGAGTCAGGACACTTATCTTACATCTTTGACGAAAACCCAACATATGGGTGATGGCAGAACAGGAAGCTGGAGGGCCCGGGTCCTCAGGATATCAGTGGACCACACACTAAACCCAGAAACACTAACCTCTGACAAGGTTAATAACACCTTTAATGCTTCACCCATTATTGGTAAGGTAGTAACTTGCAGCTAAAAAAATACCTGACATTGACCCTCATAATTGTTGCTCATATTACTTTGCCTATTACTTCTTATTCTTCCTTTGCTCAGAGGCTAGAATGGTACTTTGGGTGAGAGCAAAAGCATAAAAATAAAATTATTTGGAAAATGGTAATGAGACTTGTTCTTCACCACGTCATCCCTGAGTTTATCAAAAGAACTCAGCATCTGAGGGAAGCATGTACAGGTAACTCATCACAGAGCTGATCTCTTTTGCTCTGTTCCCTAAAATAGATTGTCCAGCAAACTCCTTGTTTTGGAAAGAGGTTCATGTTGCTCAAAACTCATTTATACTATTTTATCTTCTAATGAATTAGTTTCTGAGAGAAGACAGAATAATTACTAAGAGGGAAAAAATCAGCAATCAATATCATGGTTTTCAAGGAAAAGAGAATTCAAATAGCTCAAAAACCAAAAAGAAAGAGCTATGAACGTGTTACTTCTCTGTAAGGCATTACTAGCACAGGTAATAGCCAAGGTTCCATAAAACACACAAAACTAAAGGGCTGGGGGGAACATGTAATAGAGAGCACACAGGTATGAATGAGTGTTAATATGAATATGAAACTGATAGAAGGATCAAGAAATTCACCTTTAGACGACTAGAGTCCAGCCTCAGGGCTGAAAGTAATGGATCCAGAGATTCAAACTCTGCAAGAACATGGGTGTAGGGCTCCGGTATCACTGGCACAGACGTCATTTAGCTGGAAAGCTGAAACTATGTTGAGTGATAGGCACAGTACTTCTGCATTAAACCTGCAAAAATATAATTTAAGAAGCTCACCAGTCATTCCACATGCATTTAATGAGTATGTGGAGAACACAGGGGATCATGAGAGAGGAACAGGGATCCCTCCTCTGGAGGTGCTCAGAATCTAGGTTCAAGAAAACACACATAGGTAACATGCAAACATCAGCTTGTACTGCATCATTCCCTCACTCTAAACTTCCCAGAGAGTCAAACCAGACTCTCCAAGCCCTCCATAATCCCATCCCACTCTACTTATCTAACAGTGTGAATAAGCAGAATAGTTACTGCAAGGTATTTATGAGGAAAACTGGTCAGGCTCCTCTATGGTAAAATAGTAGCCCCAGCTTAATTTCTTTACGTGGTAAATCTTCTCCCATCATTAAGTGTCTCTTATTAAAGGCCAATTTTCTGTAAAGACCCCTAACTATAAACCCTCATCAGCAAATTCAATGGTTGTCAGCCAACAATTTAATAGTGCTTAAGAGGAATAGGCCTCTGGATCTTTCTCCTGCCTATCAGGGGCTCAGTGAGTATCTGTTGAACGAATAAATGCACCTACGAAGTAAGTGAGAAGTGAAGTGCAGGTAATTAGAACTGGAAGAGGAATAAGAGCTTCAATAAGAGACCTGATAGGAGGGTAGCAAGTGCCAAATACCCAATGAAGACTTTGTAAACAAACACAAGAGTTCTTCGCTGTTCAACAACTCTCAAATATGTATTTTTGTCTAATTGCACCACTTTTGAAAAAAGAAAAATTTTTAAAAAGTAAAAAAATTCTATCCATTAACTTTTCTCAATCCTTTGATACCTGCCAAATTAAAAAAAACTACTACAAAAAACAAAAATAATTATACTTTTAAAAATTATTTATACTGGTGTTTTTTTTCCAGAAACACATGAAACCACTTATTCACTTAACAAATGTGTACCTAGCACTAACTATGTGCCGGACATTGTTCTAGGTCCCAGAGGTAACAACAGAGGACAAAATAAAGTCCTGACATTCATGGAGCGTAACTTCTAGTGGCAAAACACATACAAGCCTTATCTTAATATAGAGCTGCCCAAAAAGTTCATTTGGTTTTTTCTGTAAGGTGGCTCTAGTAGCACTTAGTCATCTTTAACTTCATTCACAACAATTTTGTTAGACTGGACTGTGACAGCTGCCATATCAGCATGCGTTTTTAAAAAGCTTATCAAAATTGGTGAATTTTTGTGTAGCCATTTTAATATCGAAGATGGACAAAAATAAATGACATATCAGCCTATTATGCTTTATTATTTCAAGAAAGGTAAAAATGCAACTGAAACAAAAAAACCCATTTGTGCAGTATACTGAGAAGGTGCTGTGACTGATGGAATGTGTCAAAAGTGGTTTGTGGAGTTTCCTGCTGTGCTGGAGATTTCTCGCTGGACAAAGCTCCATAGTTGGGTAGACCAGTTAAAGTTGATAGCAATCAAATCGAGACATTAATTGAGAACAATCAACATTATACCACGTAGGAGATAGCCGACATACTCAAAATATCCAAATCAATGGAGTTATTGGTGAAAATGAAAAATGTGTCTTTTTATTTTATGGAATAAGCTATACAGACTTTTTGGCCAACTCAATATTTATGCTGCACACACATAATACAGTCTTATTTTCTAGTACTAAGTATCTAGTATATGCTAGTAATACTGTTTTTACTACAATTTTATCTCTGCAAAAACAGTGTTCTGAAAAACGAAAAATCTTTAGGAGTCCTATACACGTATACCTCAGAGACATTGCAAGTTTGGTTCAATATAAAGTGAATGCAGTAATAAAATGAGTCATAACCTTTTTGCTGGTGGAAGGTTTCGCCTACAATTTGTTAAAGAAAAAAAAACACACATCTGTGGGGCACAATAAAACAACGTGCCACAAAATGAGGTATGCCTGTACTTCAAATATTCGAGAATTCCAGACATAAGAAAAAACTAATTTTTCCCACTAGTTCATTTTATTGAGTACCTAGTAAAATATGAGGCACAATGGAAACAAGACAAAGTACTAGCAGAAATCAATCACTTTAAATACAAGTAAGAAAAAAAAGAAATCACACACACCCTACAAGGAAAACATAAGCAAGGTGCTATTTTGGAACTTAGAAGGACAAAGGGGTCACTCTGAGTTCAAAGGAACGTGGAAAACTTCCTACGGGAAGCAGTACTGGAGCTAAGCAGGTTTTTAACAGAAGAAGGGGGAGGGGAGCAGGTTGGGCGGCAAGAATCAACTAGATAGAGGATATAGTTGGAGAATAAAAGTTTGGTCTTTGGTTGAAACACACAATTCTAACCCTGGAATAATAAAAAGTAAAGCTGGAATAGTAACTTGAGCACAAGTTATAAAACAATGAATCTCACACCAGAGAACCTGAACACACATTTATTTGGTGGGCAACAGAAAGGCACTGAAGGATTTGGTGCTGGGTGACCACATAATTGCTGTGAATTCCTGTGGGCAGATACATGAAAATAGGGTGGGTGTTAAGGAAGTAAAGATAAGGCCTTTTCAATTACTAAAGAAATCTGGTGGAAAGGAAAAAACTCTATGACTATCTGGCCAAAACAGGTTTGTAGATACTAGTAAAAGAGTCTCTGAAATGAAAGGAACTGAAGGTACAAGAAAAAGATAAAACCACAGTATAAGATCCTAAAGAAAGAAATGAATGACATCAAGACCACAGTGTCTATCTCTTCCACTTGTGATCTTAAATTCTGAAGGTGGTAAGTCATTTGCCCTTAATCTCTATGAAAATGTCCTGGAAATTATGATTTAATGGGATAAGAAACCCAATTTGTTCTTAAGATTTAATGCCTATGCAAAAGAAACAGCATAAGCAATGTCAGTTCTCAAGAGATGTTATTGGATGATACTGTTAAGCCAACTCCAAATTAACATATTTTTTTTGTGCTTACCCTCTCCCCAAAACAACTCCCCCTCCACATCTACTTATCCAAATGCACCCAGCCTTCAGGACCAATAAAAGTCCCACTTCCCAAAATTCTCACAGGTGGAAGACAACTCAAAGGTAGTTCAGTGCATATACCATATACCCACCTAATTCAGCAATTAGTTTTACCTAGGATTTCTGAAAATTTTCGGCAGTGAAAAGGAAGCACTTCCTCTGTTGAAGCTGCCCATTCCACTTCTCCACAGTTGTTATAAGGTTCTTTATTTTATTATTTTATTTTATTTTTTAAAACTGATTTTAAAGAGAGAAGGAGGGGGGAGGGGGGAGAGAGAGGGAGGAGAGAGAGAGAAACATCTATTTGTTGGTCCATTTATTTACGCATTCATTGACTGCTTCTTTTATGTGCCCTGACCAGGGACCGAACAGGCAACTTTGAGGTATGAGGACAACACTTTAACCAACTAAACTATGTGGCCAGGGCCATAAAGTCCTTTTGAAAGTACTGGGCTGAAACCTGATCACTTAGAGCTTTTACTAAGTATTCCTAACTGTGGATTCTACAGTTTAAGGGAATAAGTATACTCTTTCCAAAACAACCCTTAAGTATTTGAAGTGTCGTCAGGTCTTCTAAAAATTTAACACTGCCAGATTTTCAATCATTCCTGATATGAAAATTTCCAAGTTCTGGTCAACTTTCTACACAGGCACTTCATCTGAAAATGTGTTGCCTAGAAATGAACACAATACTCTTTAAGTAGTTGGATAACACAGAATAGAGTAGAAATATTAACCTCCTTGATCTGGACACTAAATTTCTATATTACTACCTAAAATAGCATCTGATGTGTATTTAAAATGGCCATATCACACTGATTCAACAGAGCAAGTGGTCAACTAAGACACAAAGAAATTTTTATATTAAATGGCCAGTACCTAAAACTCAAATTGACAGCTATTAATCAATGGTGCATATAAAAAGTATCTACAAATTTTAACTCTCTGTACAAACAAGAACAGCAAAATGTTGATAACTGTTAAAGTTGGGTCGTGTGTACATGAAAGATCATTAAATTATCCTATTTTTATCTATGTTTGAATTTTTCCACAAGTTTTTCAATATGTACTTAAAAAAAACCTTCTACGCAAACCTTCAACTGCTACCCTTCTAGCATATTCTATGCCTTATCCCTGTTTCTCCCGTTTCACCTTCCTCCTCATCCTCTCTCCTATACAGAGCTATCTTTTTTTCCTTTCACTGTATAAACTTTCTGTGCCTCCATGATTTTAATATATGGTTCTTGAATCTTTCTCCACCTAACGAAACTCTACCTTCCTGCAAATCTAAGGTTAAATATTTCTTCTGTTAAGTTTGTCGCATCTCCAGCCTAGCAAAAACTAAGCAACAGAAGATGGCCCTGGAAGGTGTGGCTCAGTGCACTGAGCACCAGCCTGTGAACCCAAAGGTCACTGGTTCGATTTCCAGTCAGGACACAGCCTAGGTTGCAAGCCAGGTCGTTGGTTGGGAGAATGCAACATGCAGCCAGATGATGTTTCTCTCCCTTTCCTCCCTCCCTTCCACTCTCTCTGAAAATAAGTAAATAATCTTTTAAAAAATAATGAAACAGAAGGTGGTCATAAATGCTCGCTGAAGTCATTGAAACAAATTCTTGAGGGGTTGGCTTGCCCAGGGTCAGAGGCCTTAAAAGGCAGAGCTGAGACTACAATCCACTTCTTCATTGTCCAAATTTAATCATCCTTCCATTTCCCCTTATTACTTGGTGCTAACAACTCAGCAGTAGGATCAAGGAAAGGTTTTCTTATCGCCCTAGAACTGTACACATTTTACTAATGGACCCGTTTTTGCTGCTCACACCAAACGCAAACCACGGCATTCTTTTTTCGCACGGCAGAACAAGGAAAAAAAGGAAGTAAAAATGAAAAGTTAGTATGTGAAGGGAAAGTAGATTAGATCCTTCTAACCCAACAAATAATCATCAGAGAACTCTCCATCTAGGAGAAATGGCCACTACACTCACTGCTACACTTTAATGCTGTATTAATAAGTCTAGGGGAGCTGAATAGCGGTAACCAATTTCCAGCACTAGGTCCCTGCCCCGCTCCACCAACTCCACGCCGGTAATCCCCAATTTTCACAGGGTCAAAAAGGCCTCTCCTGGCGGGGCGCCAAGACACTCACCCAGCACCTAAAGGAACACCTCAACTGGTCTCTGCTCTCACTCCTCCCCTCCTTGGCTTACGTCATCCCGGAGCGCGACGGACAACTGAATTAACGGTACTTCCTTGTCACGTGACGGGCTACGCCCCTCCTTGTGCGTGGTCCCACCCCCTCAGGTTGCCGTCGCAATTACGCTCTCTGCGGCCTGTGGTTCTCGGCCCGCTGCCGGCAGACGGCAGAACGTCCGTCAGGAGCCAAGGCGCCCTAGGGCAAAAGGGTGAGCCAGCCGGGATCCCAGGACCTTTCACCGCTTGAAGCTGGCAAGAGGAACTGAAACAGGCGGGAACTGGCGGAGGAGGGAGGGAGTTAGCGGAAGGTGTCATGGCGGCCGTGCTTTGGGATCACGTGCCCCGAGGGCCTGCTTTGGTACTTCCGGTCACGTGCCCTCAGAGTTCTCGCAGCCAGCGATGGAGGCGAGACCCCCCAGTAACAGAGGCGGTGGCGGAGGCGGCGGAGGCTACTGGGTTTCAGCCTCTTCCCGGCAGCGTCTCTAAGAAGCGCAGCGGAGCTCGACCCGACTCAGCCCACTTACTTAATTGCCCTCCCAGGGCCGTAGCTCCCACCTGGTAAGTTTAGACCGAAGAATGGGGTGGCTGAGTAGGTGAATTGCTGACAGGCCCCACAGCCGCAGGACGGCGCCGATTCTGCCCCTTTTACTTGTGTTCCTGTCACCCTCCTTCCCCACAACTCTCAAGCTTGACTTCTGGGGAGCCCGTTATTCTGAAACGGGGAAGAGGCCACTGTTAATCTGCTTGCCTGTAGGAAGCCTACTCCGCTGCCGAGAGCGGAGACTAGGAGATTTACCCAAAGCCAGGGTTAGACTTGGCTCCGGAGTGTGAAGGACGTGGAGGCCTCTCTCTTGCAAAGGAACCCTTCCCCTTAGAAAATGTGCTGTTGAGTCTTTCGGTTTCTGCAAGACAAAAAGCGTTCACCTCAGCGTCTGCACGCTTTTTGCTTCACCTGTCAGTCCTGCCGCTCTTTAAAACCTTAATACGTGTGTTAATCCACACATTCTCTTTCCCAGTTTTGGAAAGTGCCAAATTTGATCATCTTAAAAATAGGCCACCAACACATGGAATATATAATTATTGACTGAGAAGGTGTATCCTGTTGACTTTTAAATACCTGTTTTAGAGTCTGTAAAATTGGAGAAGAGGAAAAAAAAACCTCTTGCCCCTTAGAAGACCCAATTCTAAAACATACAAAAACGAAGTGCTTTAAAAAAGCCATTGCATTAACTATTGACTCCATAAAGGAATTCACAGTTCCTCACCGTGAATTCTTACCAGGAATCCTAATATATAAAGCAAAGTCAAAACTCGGAACAAATGAAATGTAAATGTCACAGCAGAAAAGAAGATGACCTCCAGTATCAGGCCTGTGGCTTACAGAAGGACTGGGCTGTAGAGGGAACTTTGTACCTTTAGCAAACCTAAATCCTTCATTTGGGAAGGAGAGAGATAATTTGGGGCTGGTAAACCTGCTATGCTCACTAAACAAACAGATCACAGTTTGATATGATATTCTCTCCTGGGTGGTATTAAATGCATATGGTAGTGCCGATATAAAAAGAAAAATAATCTATGCAAATGCAAAGACAGCCTTTTTAAAATGCTAGGAAGATTGGTACAAGGAGAAAGGCATCAGTTAAAAGTAATGAACAAAATTATCTGCTCCAGTCAATTATGCCTGCTTCCTGTATTCCTGTATGTACTGCCCCGGAGGCCTGTAACTTCTCCCTTCTGGTCTGTCTTTCCACCTTTTAGCCCCGCTTTTCTGTGCTGCTGGGGTTTTTCTTTCCCCTACCAGCAGAACGTTGTTTAGTGTCCTTAGTATTTTGACCACTCTGCCTCCTGGGTACTGCTGCAGGAGGTGTCTTCGTGCCCTTCCCTCTTTTTCTTTTTCCTGTCTTCTCTAGGCAGTATCAGAAGTCCAATAGACCCTCATTACCCCATTTTGATTACCAACCAATTGTCCTCTCAATTTTGGTATCATACTCTTTTTAGCATGCAGTATTTATGAGTTAATATGAGCATGGTTTTCCCTCTGTCTTGCATTCTGCTGTCACATTTTCCTCCCCCTTCCTTACATTGTTGTAAGATTTTTTAAAATGTGCTTTGTCTTAAAATTGCTACATTAGTTATTCTCTCAATGTTTTCCTTATGTAACTATCCTTAAAACAGTAGTACAGTTTGGTCACTCTAAACATACTTCCAAGGTCTTATTCCCTGTAATTGTGAATTATTTTTAAAAATTTTAGGTTACCTAATGGCAAGCAGCACGCCAAAACTCCCATTTTGTGTGCTGGCAGATACATAAGCTCTTCTGTTAGCCCGTGGTGAGGTGTTTATATTTCACTTGTTACTTTTTCTTCCCTGCCTCATCTACATAGGACATTGGAAAAGGGGATGTAGGTAATGGAAATGCAGAGATGTGGTAGTTTATAAAGATTTCCGATGAATAATTTCAAATTCTTCCTATCCTTTCCTTATAAGCCAGTTACCAGAATTTCTGAGGAGTGGTACTTGGATCTGTGAGTAGAAAACTCTAGTGATTCTTGGAATTTAGCCACAGGTGTATGTGCAAAGGTTTCTTGTCTTACCAACATTATATCCTTTTAAGAACAAATATCTTAAATAGGTGTCACAGATATTTCTGGAACTCTTTCTGTATCACCCCACAGTAGGCTTCTGGGTGCCGTATTGCACTGAACACAATACATGCAATCTCTGCCCTTCTTTATGAAGCTTGCAGTCCATCAGGGGTATCTGACATTAAAATAATAATTTTAAAAATTAATTAGAGTTGTGATAAGTGCTATTAAGAGAAGAACAGGAGAACTTACCTAATAACTTTGAAGCTAAGAGTAGGAAAAAATTAGTAAAAGTTAGTTTATTCAAAGGGAGGAGAATGTTCCAAGGCTCAGAGTGAGGCATATACATTTAGCTTCAGGCAAGTAACTATTTACCTGTGAATGAATTAATGTCTTCATCGGAGGATCCTGCTATTTAAAGAAGTCTTGTGGCAGATTATTTCATAAAGTAAATAAGCTTTTAAGTAAAACCTGATCTTCATCAAGCCAATTTGCCGAAGTGTAACTACGCAAAGTTTTTTTGTAAATGAAATATTGTGTGGCTTTTACAGAGGTGTACCGAGAAGTTTTGCTACCCAAGGAACCACCTTCAAGAAAAATCTAGAAATCAGAGTTATTGTAGGATACCCCTACTGGTTCTATTAAGCTTTCTAAAACAGGTCCTAGTACCATGAACAGAGTTGCTACAGATGACCAGGGAAATTTGCCAAGCAAGGTAGCTGTGAGACAGTTGACTAGTCATACCCAATGTTCAATAATTTATCTCAGATTTATTTTTAAAGCAACTCCTGAGTGGATTTTCACATAAGTGGTTTTACATACTTCATACAGGGTAGGGCAAAAGTAGGTTTACATTGTGAGTATTCAAAACACAGTTTATTCTTATATTAGTACTTATTATACTGATTTACATATGAACAACTGTAATCCTACTTTTGTCCCACCCTGTACATAAGAGGCTTTGTTTTTCCCAGTTGATTCAAAGTAGCTAATAAAGTCTGTTTGTTCCATTAGTCTCATTGATTCTCCACTTTACAGTTTCTCTGTTCACTCATCTTTGACATAGTACAGATTTTTTAAAACTTTAATAATTGTGTTTATTAAAATAAATACTAGAAAATTAATATTAAAGTATTTAATGGTTCCCTAGATATTATGAAATTTCCTTTATAAGTTTTTTTTTTAAATTTTATTTATTTATTTATCTTTAGAGGGGAAGGGAAGGAGAGAGGGAGAGAAACATCAATGTATGGTTGCCTTTCATGCATCCCCTGCTGGGAACTGGCCTGCAGGGAACCAGCCTGCAACCCCAGCATGTACCCTGACTAGGAATCAAACCTTGATTGTCTGGTTCGAAGGCCCACGCTCAATCCACTGAGCTACACCAAGCCAGGGCGCTATAAGTTAAGTTTTTAAAGTTAAATAAAAAGTTATATATTACAGCATTTGGAAATTGTTTTAATTCTTACCCATACCAACATCCCTAACACTTTTACATTTTACCTGTATTATAAACTTGTGGTTTGATATGGAATAAACACTCAAAAAGAAATTTTTAATAACTAATTTTCTCATTACAAAATATGTATTGTACATAATCTAGAAAACATAAAGAACATTCAAATATTCTGTAATCCTGTCACTTTAGGTAACCACTATTAAATTGGGTATATATCCTTCCAGTCATATATATTCACAGAATAGCATAGTGGAGTTCCAAGGTCAGCCTAACCTAGATTCAAACCCAGTTCTGCTACTTCTTGATGTTTTAGAAAAGTACCTTGGTTTCTCAGACCCAGTTTCCTTTGTCCACAGAATGCAACTAATGATAGAACCCACCTCAAGATTGTCAATCAGGAACTGAATGAGGTAACACCTATAAAGAATTTAGCCCAATGCCTGGCACATGATATTAAGAATTTAGTAATTTTAGATAAGAGTTTAAAATTTAAGAGTATGGAATCAAATTTCAAACTCTTTAAGGGACAAATACCCTCTAAACAACATCTTAGGAAGACATCAAAAAATCAGTTAAATTTAACAACAATGTTCATCCTGCAGCCCAACGTGGCTATGAACATGGCCCAACACAAAATCGTAAATTTACTTAACATCATGAGATTTTTTTGAGTGTGTGATTATGTGTCACAATATATTTCCATGTGGCTCAAGACAACAACTCTTCTGGTGTGGCCCAGAAACGCCAAAAGGTTGGACACCCCTGGCCCTTCAAAGATAGTATTATATATTGAGAATTCTAATCCTTTATTACATATGATATATAGATAACCAAACTGGAGATTGTAAAACAATAGGGGGAAATACTTTCATTGGTAAGTGAAAAACAAGGTGATTAACTGGGATGTATTTAAAGACTACATTTGTAAGGTGGGTACGGATAAGCAGAATTTAAAATTAAGAAAATTGATGTTAAGGTTGTGGGATTATGGAATTTT